TTAAAATTTCGTAAATCACTACTTTATTTTAATTTTTATATATGGTGATATTTTTCGAGTTTTCGGATATTTTTCCGAGTTCATTCCTGTTTTCATATTTGCCATGACGGAACAGACACCTTCATCTCAAATAATGCCTTTTTGGCCAGACAACATCAAAGCCTGATTCTTCTACACAGAGGCTGACTTCTACGAGCACGGCGTGAACGACACATGTGCATAATTCCTCGCAGTAATTAAGGCACTATCGCCCGAATTTAACAGGTACGTAACACCTAGTATGTTTACTAATGATGTTTCGGAACCCTACGAAATTCCTTAATATTATCGATATGCAACATGGTTCAGCGACAAATATGTTGTTAAGAATGAGAAGTGATTGGTCAAAGAACTTTCGATGACGGCCTATTTAGACAAATTTTATTATCTAAACTTTCTCAACAGGTGCAAGCTGTACTGTTCTCGTTTAAAAACAACGCCGTAGACGAGCTGGATGCATCTGCCGACCGCATTTTAGAGATCACCTAATATCATGTCGGGGTTTTCTCACTCAAAGAAAAACCCCGAGAGACACAGAATGACATTACGGAACTATGTCATATGCTAAACCGTTATCTTCGGTTTCGTAATGACCGCAAACGGTCACATACCCCACTCAGAAGTACTTTACGTGAGCGATCTGTCTCTAGACCACGAGAGACAGATATCCCCGATTGGTGCTGGTATCGTAACGAGTACGGAATATCTTCGAGAAAGTGCATAAAACTGCAATTTTCCGAACTCAAAACCAGTAAGCCTTCTTCTACCGAATTCTGAGGACCGGCTTCACGAATCGGTTTTAAACCTACAGACGGCAAACGGAAATTTAAATGTCAATTTCGGTTTCCTAGTTTGAAGTTTTTCTTGACCTTGAATATGCCATGGGTATTTTGAGTTTGACAACTCTTTACCAGTAACACCTTCTACTATGAATCTTGCTCACCTAGTGAAATCAACGGTCAGAAGCGAGGTGGATCGAAGATATATTTGATAGGCTACCAATATATCGAGAAGCGACTGATCTCAACTGGCCAGCGATTGCAGGGGAAGTTGAGCACGGCGTTCCCACTCGTGATCTGGTGTGGATGCATGACCGAGCGCCTTCAGCTAGGTGAGTCCATTAAAACTAACGTGGTCAGCATCCAATGTCGAAGACTTACAAAGATATTCATTCTGGAACTTATTTACATATTTGGCTGTAAAGCTTCAATAAGGTGAGCCAAGAGATATCATGAGGTATTATCTGGTTAAGCAGATCTTCAATCAATCCAATTTCATGCTCAAAACGAGTTTTAAGTTCTGTGTTTTCACATTTCATGACTCTATGAAGGACGAATGACCTGTCACCGTGATCAGCTTTCGGTTTGGAGACTGGATTTTCTTTGGCGAGATTATGTTATTTTTAATTCCTATTTTATATACACCCGTCAGCTTTTACTGTAGTAGACTTTAGAGTCGTGTTACATAGATTGTGAGGTTTTGAATGGTTGTTGATGACTTGTGCGGCCAGGTTTTTACTTTTCCTTATAGAAACATTCCTAATCTTACGGTTAAGTTTTCTAGGCGTTTCCTGCCCAATCAACCAATAAAGGGGAAATAAAGGCGGAAAAAGGGGAAATAAAGGGTAAAATGCTGTGGTAAACAAAGGGGAAATAAAGGGGAAAACGCGCCAAAATGTCTCCTTTTTCGCGGATTTCCCCCTTTTTGTCGCCTTGTCGCTAAATTGTCTACTTTTCGCCTAAATATACGCTGAATTGTCTACTTTTCGCCTAAATATACGCTGAATTGTCTACTTTTAGCCTAAATATCCGCCAAATTGTCTACTTTTTGCCTAAATATACGCTGAATTGTCTACTTTTCGCCTAAATACACGCGGAATCGCCTTTGTAATTACACAAAAGGTCTCCAAAATTCGCCTTTATTTATGCAACCAAGCAAAGTGAAACTGCAATGTATGGGAAAAGCGCTAAATATGTTTAAATATTTTTATTTCAAAGGAAAAGCGTTTTCTTGTACAAAATGATAGCGGAAGCTTGAGCATCAGTCGTTTAGCAATTCAATTGTAATTGCCGATTCGTCGTGCTTTGAAAAGATCTGCAACAGAAGAAACAGATGATGTGTTATTTATAACACATGTGCATTTAATCGCAAGTTCACTGACAATGAGTAAGAATTTAAGATCTCGAACGAAAGAATGTTTATTAAATATTAAGTACAACGTCAAACAAAATTGCACCGACTATATTCTTCAGCAACGTATGTTCGGCTATTGACAGTGAAAGCAGTAGTCCTGTTAATTCTGAACAGTAAAAAAATGAAAAGTCAAAACGAATTCTGAAAAACATGCTGAAGCATGTCCAAAGACACACAAATACTTTAAGGTAAACTTACGGTTAAGTTCGTTAAAACTGTTGTCTGCAACTATAAACAGTAGGGAAATTATCACTTTCAATTAGTACATACCTGCTCTCGTTTACGTCGATTACGCTTCATCAACTTGTCTCTGACGTCATGGAAATAACCTTGCGTCGCGATGTCGTAAAGCTTCGCAAGGTCTTTTTCATTAACGGAGGATGACAAGAAGCGATTCGTCAATGCACCTGAAGTTTAATTTATAAGTATAGATTACTTCGTATGCAGCCATAAACCCGGCATTTATGAAGTGCGCGCTTGGAAGAAGTGCCGAGCAATGTGAAATGACTGGCCACTTCAGGTGTCATGATGTACGACAAAACGTAACGCATTGACGTTTTAGGGTCATCACCCATTAACCTAGTCAGCATCGCCATCTGTTATACGAAGATATTAGTAAATTAATGTTGTTGACTTACAAATCTGTCCCTCGTTTCCTTCTGCTGCAACCCAGTGTCCAGCATCTGCAGTTCCTCTTCCGATGACAAAGGGAACTGCTGACTTGATACTCCGCAATCGAATTGATGAGGATGATCGCGTTCGCTAAACTTCGCTAGTAGTAGCTTCACATTAGTACTCAAGTCAGTCATAGCTGAAGACATGTTTTGCATTGTCTTACTCAAATCAGCAATAGCTGACGACATGTTCTTCAAGGTTGTGTGCAACCTATCAAATCTTAAAAACGTCAATTGATGGTACAGTTGACTTACTGGACCGCAGATGCAGAGTCTACATGCTTAGATTCTATTATTGATGGTGATGTATCTATTTGTGTAGAACTACTTCATTAACATGTACATAGTAATGAAACGTACTTGGCAATTGGCGAGACAAATTTGTCAAACAACCGAAATTTTGGATAATGCACGTGACTATTTCCAGCCTGCATTTCCGCCACATCCATGTCGACTGAATTGTAAAGAACTCCTTCTTTACGCTTTAATGGACCTCTAAGAAATGTTAGTAATAATATTGTACAGACCTCTTCGGTTTTTCCGTGTTTAAGGGCGATGTGTTCTCCTCCGTTGACGTGTTTTTGCGATGCTGCTCCAGTATTTGTAGGGATAGTAACATGTCCTTGGCAGACTGCAGAGAATCTAAAGTAGATTATAGTGTAAATGCATTTTACTCACCAATTTCCTGAATTACTTTGCATCTCAGAAGTGACCAGCTGTCATCTGGTTTATCGCAGTTTCGGAGGTGTATGTCCACCATCTCCGTTGGAAAAAGGCAAAGGTCTTCGCCAAAAATCCAATGCTTGGCTGCAATCATAAGTTGTTGTTTGCTAGGAACGTCAACGATGACGTATTTTTTGTTAGCGGACTAAATAATAAATAATCGTTAATGAAATTGTTTACGGCGATTAATGAAGCACAAATACAACGAAATACATTCACAGTACGGTATGTAACAATGGAACTATCACAAAATTATTGATGCAATTAATGGCTATACATTTACAGTCAATGTCCTTAAGGGATATCAATGTGTGTTCATGGCTAACCACGGAGCACATAAATATTCCTATATCGCTGGACGGGAACGGATCTTCGAAGTAATTGCGTGGGTCATTGAAATGCCGAAATTTAATTATTCCGTCCTCCCGTATATCAGTAATTAAACCAGGTTGTCCCTGAACTACTACAACGTTATCAGGCTTGAATGAAGTTATTTTACTATTATTAAAAGTAATTTCTTGTCGCTTGGAGACCTTAGCGGTGATAGGACTACTGTTACTTGATTTAGTCACTTGAAGCCTATCGCAGAATGACATTTTCTCAGCATAACGCTGAGCTGCTTGCTTAGCAACTGTATACCCGCTGTGCACAGAACTTTTTATTTGTCTCATGTAAGATTCGAATGGAAAGGCTGAAAAGCTATCTAAAGGTCCATGTGCACGAACGTCGTCAGGAAGGTGCTGTAACAAATGCACATTGTAAACTAAGTTTTCAGACCCATAACACCATTCGTATTCCTTAAGAAAATTCTTTAAGTCTATTTTTACAGAATCTACAACGGTTTTATGTAATTTAGGATGTGCAAGCAGATAAATGGATAACGCGGAACGCCGGAAATTAAGAAACAGAGGTTGCGGCAGTGGTTTTTGAAGAATCACTGGTCCTAAATACAGAAGGAACAATCTACATTCCGAAGCTTTCCAAACGGAAACGAAATCTAATGTGCGGCATTTGCGCTGAAAGTCGGACGGAGTGCTAGCCACGCAACCAGATATTAAATTGTTTATGTCCCTAATCGCACATGAGTTCATGTTAAGCAGTCTTTTGTGTGCAAATTCTATCCAGAGATTGGCTAGCTTTTTGGTGACACCTAGGTAAACCATGTGCATAGGATCTAAAGGAAAATTGGACATCATAGGGAGGGAGACAAAAGCCACCTTGGTGGCTGAAGAAAGCTTTCTTGGGTTTATCATATATAAGATTATTTATAACGACTGTGACAAAGCTTTTATCGTAAAACCAGTCCATGAAGCTCCACTAGCGAGTTTTGAACATTGTAAGAATAGAAAAAAACGTAGTCGCGCTTCACTCTCTCTTTACGCTACAAATAAAAGTCAGTTTTTATGGCTTACTGTGTTTTTAAACTATCTGTTATGGTCTTCAGCTCAGTTTTCTGTGATATCAGATATTTACTACTTGTTAATCCAGAAAACGTATATACCTTATGTATCGAAGATCTAACTTCAATACACTCAAAATGAAAACCTAGCTGACAATTTTAGAGTAATTAGTGAGTAGGTCAATATTTTGGAAAGCCGTTGCACAAAGTTGAACCTTAAACACGTTTGAGGAGACCACTGTGGATGTTTTCTAGAAGTTTCTGCACAAAAATGTGGCTTTTTATCTACATTTTCCGGAGGTAACAGATCTGAGGTCTAGATCTCATTGAAACACATCCCATTTTTTCTGGCTAAGTAGAAATATTGCCAGCAAAGCTTTTAGCAAGTATTTTTACAAATTGGGTTTTCTCAAAGGGTACATACATATGGCACTGCAGTACATAAATTTTCATTGCTTGTGATTTGACGTTTGCATCCTCGGTTACATCCGTCGTATATTTAAGCGTAAGTTGTAGAATCCATAATTTTCTGGTATTTTGGATGTAAATATAAATGGTAAGCGTGTTCTTGTAATTCTCCAATGTTAGTTCATCTAATCATCATTGCTGACCTCATTATAAATTCTATTATATGTCCTAAAGTTAATATTATATTTATCTAGTAGTTATGTGGTCCTGTTCATCTCAATTGTAATCCTAAGTAGTTCCACTTCACAAGATACCCCAAAACTTTTCGACTTCGTGAGGCCTCCACAATATACCCCGTCCTGGAAAAAACACGTTATTTCTCTGTGTTCATTAGGATTCTTTGAGCTCTTGTAGGGTTTCCCACTAATAATTTCTTGAATTGCTTAGAAAGGCGGGAGATGTTTTTTGGTGGTTACTGACTACGCACTGGTAGAAAGCACTTGCTTAAATCATAATTTATGGACGACCTTTGAGCGACGCCAACGTGACCTTGAGAGTGTACCTACTTACTAAGGCTAAATGAGGGTTATAAAGCAGCTTGAAGAATAAGGATTATGATTCACAGTTGATAATTAAGATTAGGAATTAGATTTACGGTTTTCCACCACGAACTGGCATCAGCTAAAATGCCAAGACACTATTTAGCCAAATGGATGAGTAAATTTCGCGCCAAAACCCAATACCTGTTGTCCTAAATTTGATTGGTTCGTCCATGAATTGTAATCTCGTCAAGTATTTTTTACAGCCACTATGTTCTGAATTAAAGGTTCAGAACTAGTTTGAACTCACCCATTCAATGTAAATTAAAGACTAAAACTGTGGTCTATGAAATTCCGACAATAATGTGAAAACTGTAATGGATATTCGCCATCTTACCATACCTACCGCCATTCATCTAAATACGTGCTCATGGGATGTGTTTTGGTACTAACTTTTGTTCTACCATTAGGCTGGTAATAACGACAAGCATGGAAGTAATTTAAAGTGATAAAGTGGGTGAATGTTTGCGTGTCATTAGGTGTAAGAATTCTAAAAGAAAGATTTTAATACGCAAAGGCCTGTTAGAGAATATCGTTGTCAAAGTTACTTAATAACAGTTAACACTACCACTTTACAATGTCTCCATGCTTGTTGTCGTTATTCTACTAGCCTTCACTAATACGGAATAATGTACATTGGTTACTAATAACTTTTACTGTCCTCCCTATGTTGTAGGCTGCTGACGAGAATCCACGAAGTTAATGAACTCACCTTACTTTGCTACCCTTGTTGTTCTTGCTTGGTTCAAATTTACCGATGGGAAGAATTGTATGGAGAAAGTAACAAGTTGAGAGTCGGCAAAATGTAATAGTAATGGTTTTTTGTTACTTTCTCTTCCTGTAATTATAGAAAAAGTAAAAACGAAAACGTTTCTTTTATTGACATTCTTTTGGACGAAAACGTTAGGCGTATCTTTCCTTACTGTTACTTAGAGTATGTTATGTTGGGTTCGATTACGGATATATATGAAACGATTGACTATCTGATGTTATGGAATTTTCAAGCAGGGGTAAAATAAAGAAGCTCCAGTAAAAGAATAACAATAACTTAGGACGTGGGATGGATGGGTATATGTTCAAGTTACCACAATTTCTGGTTTTTTGTGATTACTCTTGATCTCTTAATTGCACCATTTTGAACTGTAGCAACGTATTTTATTTATGTCATTGGTTTATGAAGTACAAGTTTGGGTACTTAATTCTCAGAGACTACGTTTACTGTACTACCCGGGTTTACCCAAACTGTGGTAGTTGAAGTGATGTTCAAACTTGGAGCCCATCAGTTTTAAGTAGAGTACTTAAACCATTAAGCTACCACTCTACAATAGCATTTTGAATCAGTTCAGGGTTTTGATTAATTTTGTTTTGTTTAATTCAACCGGTGTTACGTCGTCTTCTGTGAAATAGTATGCTTTTTTATCTTCTAAATATTCTTGCACTTAGTCATTACTCTTCGTTTACTTTTCTTAGGATATTTTAATGTTGAGTAGTAAAACTTTCTAATGTTTCAGAAAGCGTCTTTATCAACATACTCACTGGGTGAATATTCCGTTTTATTTGTGACATGTTATTTTACACATTTATTTCCATCTTATTGATTTACATTTATCTGAGCCCTTTGTGAATATTCGTCCAAGTTAAAGATGTTTTTCGTTTTGAGGTGAAAACCACAAAACTGTAGTCAGTTATAGAGATCATAGGGTCGCTTCAAATCTGTACTGGTCTAGTTTGCCAAATCCAGGAATTTTATTTCAGGTTTATAACCTGTCATCAGTACTCACTTGTGATTGCACGTGAGATCCAACCCAAGACATTCAGGTTTTGTGGAAAAAGCAATACTTCTAGCATACTGAGTGGAAGTCTGATGGTTTACACTTTGAACTTCGTTCCGTTTACAATATGACTGGATCACTATCCAGTCTCATCGATAATTGTCCCTTCAAATTGGTTGTTTGTTATAAATTACTTATTTAAACCAAGTATAAGTTAAATACAGTTTGTTTAGTATTTACTTTGTTACCTTCCGTATATCGTTCTTTTAAGGTGCCATTCTTAGTTGCAAACAAAGTTTGCAAAAGCTTTAAGTACATTTGATTAGTAATCATTGTATTCAAATCTAAATTATGCTAGCTAAATTTAGCAATTTTGCTTTTATTTTTTCTGTGTATTATCTTCACAGATCTCATTATTCGGTTAGTTACATATGTCATCAAAGAAACCACCCAAAGCATTGTACGTTCCACCAGCTTTAAGAGCAAACAAAAATGCGAGCGAAGTCAAAAAAGAGTTATCCTTTTTAGAATCTCCAATATCATATGCTTCCGTGAATGAACAAACTGATGTAGAACAACAATTAAAATCACTTACACTTTCTGACAGCTGTATTGATGACGACGAATGTGTACTCAAAAAAAAACTTTTTAATCAAAAGTTGTCACATAATGATAGCGACAGTGAACCAATCATAAGGTTGAAAGATTTCCAACATATTTTAGAGTTATACAACTTTTCAAAAGACTTTCAAAATTTTCACTTAGAAGCGGAACTCACAGGATTTGAAGATAGTGGATTTTACCTTAAATGGGTCGATGATACTCATTGTCTAGCTGTATTTTCTTCAAATGATGAAGCAAATCGTGCATTGGCTCAAATATCAGGACTTTTCATGAAGGTATACCCTTCTTTACTAATTACTTATTTTGTATTTAAAGCTACCGATTTTTTAGGTGTTTCTTGATGAACGTTTGTTTGAGTTTATCTCTTCGTAATGTGGATTAGGTATTAGAATACAAGCTATAAAGAAATCTTGAAGCGAAATAAGTTTTCTGTTAGTAAATTTGACTGCACATGTTTTGCTAACCGATAATAGAATCATATTTTGTGATTGTAAATACTAATTATGGGTAAACAAAGTTGGTGTAATTCAACAACCAATTACAATATCATGTACTAGGTTTTTGCCGTGGATTATTTATCTCAGATAATACAATTAAGAAGAAATCGTTCTTAAGATTCACTTATGGATTGTAGTAAACTTGGTTCACTTATTTTCAATGTGCTTCAGTCAGCATCGATCTATTCAGCACAAATTTATTTTATTTTTAATACACCTTCGTTTTTAGTGTAGGGGGCTTTTAGGTATTACTGAATTTTCAGTGTACATTATTGTATTCAGTGATATATTTTAATTTTGTATTGAAGCTGCGATTGCTCAATCTGACAAATCTTGTAATTGATTATAGTTAAATATTTGGTGTGTAATTTGCACAAACTGGGTCGTAAATTCTTCTCTGGTATCTACCAAGAAAAGCTTTTGTACAAGATTTCGTTTATCCATTGCAGTCTCTCTGAGGGTAATCGTTGATTTGTTGTATATTATTCGTCTAGTTTGTTCAGATAGTATAGATCCCGGTTCGTAATTTAGAAATACGAAACTCAATCTTAATTCAAAATATAAAATAGTATGAATTTTACAAATATTTTAACAAATTAATTTCATCTTTAGGCTCGTAAAATTAAGGACGCTTCTTTGGCTAGCAAGTTGAAGATTGCTCGTTCACCTGGTGACTGGACTATGCCGTATAAAAAACGACCAGTTACGACTAGCTCAACAGCTCGAAGATTAATTTCCAATCATTTGGGTATTGTTCCTACTAAAATCAAATCTCCTGAGGAAACTACGAAAGAGGAACAAGATAAAGCTGTTTTACGAGAAGCACGTGGTAAATTATATAAGTGTTTTCCGTATTATTTCTTTTGTTTACCTTTCGTGACACCACTAGTTTTTAGAACATAATCCAATAATATTTTAAATCTGGTGTTACACTTTACAAGTAGTCTTTTATTTCTGTGTTAAACGGTCTTAGTCAATTATGGATCGGAATGCTTACTTTTGTTTCCGTTTAGAACTTGATTAAGATTTGCTAATTATTCAAGTAAATGTACTAAAGTTTTTATGTCGAAATCAGTTATGTTAACATGGAGAAGAATCGACTTGCCCACATCAATTAGCCCTTATTAATAATAAGCCCGCAAGGAAAAATGTATTGCCTAAATTCTATGCTTTCAATTAAAACTATGGAATGATTTTTTAGATTTTTAAATTATTCTTATTTGCCTTGAAGTTTTTGTATTTAAGGAAGATATCGAATCCCCATTTTCCGTCGTCCTTTTTAATTATTATGTACATGTATACTTTCAGTAGGATATATTTGGCTTTAGTTGAGCACTTTTAAATACATGTAGTTATAAACCTGTGCTAGTGATTGGTTTATGATATACTTTAAAAAGTGAGTTGGTCTTTTTAGTCACTTTATTTTTATTTCGGTTGGTTTGGAAATAGGATTTCGAGAATCTACTTTTTATTTTTCTTTTCATACACATAATTCCCTTTATCATTTTGAAAAGAGCAAGAACAAACATTCTAGCAGAATAGCGTGAATTCATTCGTTGGTTCTCGTTAGCTGCTCACAACCTGTGATATTTAAAGTCATAATTACATAATGGGTTTAGATTACTTACATGAGAGGGTTTAGTTGGAAGTTATATTGAAGACATATTAGTATAGTGTGGCAAGGGTGTAAATAAATTTAATAGACTTAATATTGTAAATATATACATTACGTAAAAGAACATTCTACGATATTGATTTTGACAACAGTTCGAACGGCTAGAAACAAGTAAACATTGATAAGAATAAGATGAATAGAGTTCAGTTGAGAAAATAAGATTATTAATTTGGGAGATAGTTGAAATAAAACTCAATGATGTAACAGATGTGAGAAAGAGTTTGAAGAAAAAGAAAAATATGTCAAGATACAGCGAAGGAGTATTAGTCACCAAGGCAAGGAAAGATTATTAACCATCTCCTTTTGAACACATAAATCAGGTTTTTGACGTCTGATAGCAACGGCTTCAGCAAACTTCAGAAGACTGGAGTTTGGCTGCTTACTAATCACCTTGAATAATTGTAGGGTATCGACCTGATGTTCTGTATTCAAGAAATGTTTGATAATTGCACTATTTATAGTCGTTCTTTCTCTTACTAAGGCTTTTTGGAACATGCTCAAAAAATCTAAAATATACCCTCCTTTCTGTTTGGCCAATGTTACTGCTTTGTTAGGCACACGTAAATTTATTTCTCATCAGTGTATACTTAATGGTGTATTCAGGTATTTAAATTGAGTTTTATGATGGTTCAATAGTTTTATGACATATGTAAGGCTACGATATCTTCAACAGGAATATTGTAAAATGTTACTTAAAACTAATCACCAATTTCTTCACGGTTTGTAGATTACCCTTGATAATCAGTCCAGAAATAGATGAAATCTAGGTTCAAGGGTTTTGTTTGTTGTTAGAAGCTAATAATTATTTAACACCGAATAACAGATTATAAGGTCAATATCCAGATATATCTCTCTGGTATAATCCCATACATTAGTTGTTCGATTTGGGAAGTTGTATATAACATTTGTTTCTATATTATTAACTATTTCGTGTATATTACGAAATAGAGAATGATAGTTCTCAACATTTTATCACTGGTTAATCATTCTGATCTAATCCCACTTGGAAATCCTAGTTAGTAGTCATGTGAAGAAGGACAACATTTTATTAATAAATCTCAATCGTTCACTTGTTAGATAAGTGTGTAAAATACTCTCCATGTAGTTTTATTAAGTAGCGTTATTTCTTGCACGTAATTTACTGTTATTATTTATCGATTTTATTTCCAGTAGTTGTCAAATGAATCAATAATTTCATTTCTTCAAGAGTTGATCATTACACTAGTTTAACTAATTCTAGTGTCCGTGCAGATATACGTATTTTCTTATCATATGTAATGATGTTTTCTAAGGTGTATTTTATTTGATAACTACTAACTTTTGTCCTCTTATGTCTCAGCTCGTGCGGAAGCTATTCGTCAGGCACAGAAATCTCTATGGGAAGACGATTAATGTGACAAATACAATTGTTTTGGAATTATTCCTGTAAAAAAAGTGATTTTTTGCCTTTGGAATTCTATCTATTTATAGTGAGAAAAAATATCTTTGCATTCGACTAAAAATCCATATAATACTCATTAGGTAGTATCATGAGTAATATCTAACTTATATTTCTTCCAACACTGACTTGTTAGTTTATCATTTTTCTACTCTATCTATCTGTTTACATGCCAACACTTTATGCCTTTTCGTTTGTGTAGTGTAAATTGAATATGGCAATAATAAATCATGGAACTATCTTCATCATATGTATCTATTTGACATGCTTCTTGTTATCTTTGCAAATCATCTAATTGTATTTTTAATATTTTTTTATTGTTCTATATATGCGTTTATGGTAATTTGTTATTTTCTGGTGTTAAGTATGCTTTTTTATTTTACTAGTCGTCGGATTGTATTTTTCCGGTTTATCTTGATCTTAGAAACATAAAAAATACGATAGGGCGTTGTCATTTTTGCTGGTTGGACGAGAGCAGGGATAAGCAGTCAGTCATGCCATCTGCAACGTAAGATCAGGTGCATATATGCATAGGTCCAAGTTTTCATACCTCAATAGCACAACAAGATGAACACCGAATTCATAGAAGCAGTTACTTCAATAGTAGTTAAAAAACATTTCATATAGAGATGTGATACAGAGAGAAAAAATTAGTTCGTAGAAATAAGGATATAAAGTAATTTTAGTCTCACGGTTTAAGGGAAGACAAACAGTTTATACACATACGCCGTTGTGATCGATTCCGAGCCATATCACCCAATCAGTGGTTACAATAGTCACGCAAACTCCAACCAGTTAGGTTGCATCTACCAACATGGCTCAAACCAGAAGTTAATGACTTCAAGGACTAATGCCACGTTTCGGTTTGGCCGCCCCTAACTACTATCCGTCTCCGTCAACAGCTAGCATTGCGCGCCGTGGTAATCGATGTTCAAGCATACGTAACACGTGGTCCAACCATCTCAGTCGATGAAGATTCACAACCTCATCGACTGATTTACCGTCATTCCCTAATACCCTGTGTCTAACCTCACTATTACTTAGCCGGTGATCCCAGCAGATGCGAGCAATATTTCTAAGGCATCTGTGGTCGAATACTAGTAACTTACGAGTATCCTCTACTCCTAATGGCCACGTTTCGCAGTCGTAAAGTAAAACAGAATAGATTGCTGCCTTTTAATTGATAGACGAATATCTAACCTTCGCCATAGGTGACTTAGCTTCTCAAAAGCCAAACGAGCTTTTCGAATGCGTGTAGAGATTTCGTCAGACACCAACCCATTAGGACCGATCACACTTCCAAGTGAAGTTGTTGACTCGTTCTACTACTTCACTTCATACCCTTACTTCAGGTGTTGACGCAGACCAATTCCGAAGCGACCTTTTACATCTAGAAGAGAGAGAAACGCATTTCAAACATCCTGGCATTGTTGCTCAGTGCTACCAAGACTGCATTTCATGTGCACCTCCTGGAAGGTGGTCTATTCCACAAAATTCAGTAGGTCCATGATCGAATTGAAAAAAGTGGATATAGTAGATGGAGGTCGTGGGTGTTTATAGTTAAGTATGGACTGACTGGAATGAACTGCTGTCAAATATTTCTTCGAATATTAATTTGTGATGAAATCTACCATAACAGTGAGAAGTCTATTTACGCTACTTGGGAAAGTATTAAGTAGTACATTGACACCTCAAGTAATTATTCAAGCACGTTGAACAAATACCATTAAAAAATTATCTACTTTTTAAGTTAAACTAAAGTCTATTTAGTAAACATATCGGACTTTTAGCTTAACAACATGAGTACAACTTATTCATCAAGATCTAATACATTAGCGAAGCAACTAGTGAGACAGAACTCCGAATCCATCGTCCCCATGGATAAACGGGTGATGAACGTAATCACTGTCTCCTTGGAGTGCTAAAATACGGCTTATGGCGGAGGTGAATGTCAAATTTCTATATCTACTTTTCAAGTTTACAAATCGAAAGTGTTAATTTTCAATATTACGAGTAGTTTTAGAATCCAGTTAATCTGTCTAAGAGTTATTTCCATTGTCTTATTGTCTGTAATTTTCTCCACGTACATATTACTGGGAAAAGTACCTTAAATCTAGTGTTTGCGATTTAAGTTGCTAAATAGCTGTAGCTAAACGGCTATTTAAAACCAGTACCCACTAAACAGTTGTGTTGTCCTAGTATGGAACTCTTACCAATTAAAATCATATTATCTTCACTGATTTTCTTTGATGATCATAATATTATCTCACTGACAAATACTTAAAATCAATTACTTACAGATTTCTTTCTTACCTTTAAGAATACATCAAATATTATACAGTATTCATGATACTTTTAAAACTAGTCACATGAATACCAATTTTTTTATCATTACTATATGCATTTAAATGGTTAAGAGAATATGAAGGAAATCAGATTAACAAATCACTTGAGATAATATTTTATCAACACATCCAAATAAAAAAACAGATCAAGCACGTCTAATATCAGTGTAACCTTTTTTATACAAAAAAGGGTGATGGTTGTCTACAATTTGCATATAATTGCAGGAAATAATTATCAGTTTTAAATAATAGATTTTGAAGAAGAAAAGAAAGAAATTATTATTGTTGCAAAAAGATTACCAGTTCAACGAAATTCTTTATCCATCAGGTAAACAGCACTATTATCCAAATTTAGTCGAGCACGGATTTCTCTTAGTTTACTAACAGAATCCACCTGTTCTTGTAGAAAATCGTCCAAAAAGTCTTGTGTCTATGTAAATATACAAAATATTTGTAGTAATATTTGATTATTTACTTAACAACTTGTACACAGGAAATAAGTCATTCTAAGCTGCAGTGAGTTACTTTAACTTAGCTGGTTTAGTAACATCATGGGATCAGTCATTCTTAACAGTAAAGACAAGTTAACACAAGCAACGTTATTATGCCACGGACTGTTTAGATTTTGGTAATATTAGACAGAAATTCTTTGACTTGATCACTCCAAGGACACTATGGTCAAAACTAAGCAGGGCTGAATATTTTTATACATTTAAGTGTATAAATAATACTGAAATCTCTCTTAACTTCATGATGAAAACACTAGTCAGTATTCCTTATTCCTACCTATTCTTGAACTGATATATGTATTAATCATCAAACTAGACCATAAATTTTGTATTTATAAATAGGTGGCAGTTTCCTCTATTACTCTCCATTTTTCAATTGACCATAAGTCTCATCTCAAAGTTATTAAGAAAAAATATCCTTGCATTTATCTTAGGCGAATGAGTAGAATAAATTGAGTACTTCTAGTGTATTCTGACTCATCACATTCGAGTTCCATACATATAATGTGGTTTAGAAATGTATACTTTGAGAAAAATTTGTTTACAATAATGTTTAAAAAAAAAATTTTGTCATGATGATGAACTTTTGTTGAATAGAGAAAAGATACAATATCTTATAAATTGGTGAGAAATCAAACTACATACATGTTATCATAGGATGGTTAAAATCACTCTCATTTTCAATAGGAATTTCAACAAATCCAAATATAAATCGTTAAAATGATCCATAAAATGTCAACGACAACACAAATTGTTTCTCTGTTTTAATGGATATTAAAGTTCAACTAGGGTCTGATGGTTTGAAAATCAATAAATGAGATTTATTTTCAATATCTTATATATTTGTTTATTTAGTTTATTAAAATTAACAGGTGAAAAGTTCATATTAAATTTATTTAACAGCGTGCTCTAGTGCGTGTTTATATCAGATTATAAGTTGTTTATGATTGATTGGAAGGAGTTATTATTATAAGACATTCGAATGTAAATAGACACTGATGAATTGTAGATATTTGGTAACTTTCCAAGGCGAATTCTTCTTAGTGAGTTAATTAATAGTTAGTTATTCAATTATAGAATACGTTAGTGTTTTTAATATTCCCAATGTTAAGCGAAGAAATATTAGTTTCTTGGCATAGCTATTCAATAATATATAGGTTTCATAATTAAGTATTAGTTCACCCAATAAATGGCGTTTGATCAATCAATATATCTCAATATTTTCCCTAAAGACAGCAAACAGTTAGTAACTTAGCGGGTGAGAATTTAAGACGACATTACATAATTGGTTGATTGCAGCAAGTAGTTGCGTAAGATCAAAAAGCAGGAATTGATTAAGTTTGGAATTAACTAGCTGAATGAAAATGTTTGGTGTTATTTGTAATAAGTGATGAGTAATTAAAAAGACAGATGGATAGGGAATTGATGTGTCAGATTATCTAAACAGATTACGTAAGAAAAAATCCTGATAAATACAATATCATTTGATAAAGGAATAGCTAACGTAACTGATTAGTTTTAAAAAATAGTACTTCAATGTATAAATCGATCTGTTCTGGTTTGAATATCAGTGAGAGTTCCAGCATTCACCTGGATATACATAAAACTCGACTGAAACTGGATACAAGGTCCGGATTCGCTTTTTTACTACCGATTACTCAACTAATTTTCAATAACCTTTTAATCATTCTTAGAATATTATCAGGATTATCAGTAGAATTTCAAGAGCTTTTGGACTTGCTAACTCATCCAGGTAAAAAGCATTTGAGATTAATCAGTCTTACCTTTTTTATTAAATCGAATATAACATTACCAATGTAAATAGCAAAAGATAACTTATTTACCGAATCGAAACCCTATATCAGTTATTATTGATGTCAAAAAGCAGAACTCTAATAACTTGTACCTTAAGTTATCTTTTAACATCAAAACTCTTAACTTTAAGTCTGATAGAAAATATGCCATTTTAAACCTTCGGGTTGAATTCCAATGATCGATATATTTGTATTTTAAAACGAAATTATCAACTTTTAAATGAACAGTTGATCATTTGATGTAGGATGAATAAAATATTTATTTAAAATCTGTTAGGTTGGAAAATTGTAAGTGAAAGAAGCATAGTCAACAAATAATGTTATCAAAATTAATAAAATCATTTGAAATAATTAAAACTTACAATTGCATCATTCATTTTCGATGCTAATTTATGCAGTGCATTGATGTGTGCAGTGACTTCAAGTTCTTTTCCAATTGCTGTGTCAATTACTTCATGAATATTCTTAAAATCCATTGGTACACCTGAAGATGCAAGCTAAATCATGAATGGAGTAAAATTAAACAAAAAGGTGGCACGTAGAGTTCTTGGTAAATTTGTAAATTATATAAGTTTTGGTATATGTATTATCAGGATCCATATAATGTAGACCATTATGTCATAGAATACGTTAAAAGTAAGAAAAAATATTGACAATGTAGCTAATTTATTTAAAACAATCACAATGTATCTACCGATTAACTCAATTAAAAATTTTCAATTACGTAAATAGTTATTGTGATATTTATGCATGAAGTTAAATCAAAGTAGTGACTTATAGTTGACATGAGTAAATTTCAACGAATTCAAGATTATATAAATTAAAAGAGTATATTTTAATCTTTGACTGACTAAATTATGTATTCAAAAATAAATAAAGGAATTGAATTTTGGAAAAAGAATACTATTACTGTCATAAGCCATTCTTACGTAACAGGGTTAAAAATTATTTCAATCTAAATGTTAGTCATGTAAATAGTTACTACCGATACATACCTATGATTCAATCAGGATATTATATTCTGTTTGTCAATTGCTTTATCAAAATTTCTATGTTTTTCGGCGAGAAATTTTCATTAATTTCATGAATTCAGTTGGTATTTGTAAAATATTTGTTGCGAAAGTATGAATAAAGTAAGAATACTGTCAACAAAATTTTAAATAAATACCAACTAATTAATTTGAGCTAGTCATCATTAACATATCACAGGGCAGAAATGCATAGCAGTGGGACAAGCCGCGATATCTTATCGACACAATAAGATCAAATTAGGGAAGATCAGCGGTTAGGAAGTTAAAGTCATAACAAAATTAATGATAGTAAAAGGGAATAAACGTCAATAGAACTGTTACCATTGATCAAATATAGACAGTGGCAGGAAAAGTTATTAGATTTCTAATTTGATTTCAGTTCTACAACAGACTAGTCACTGACCGGATAGCTTGGTGGTGACATTTGACTGGGATACCGAATTAGCCGGGTCCTAATATCATAAGGCATACCGGCTCCATGAATGGACCTTAATAATAAATACCAACCAGAACAAAACTAGTCCAAGGAGAGCTTCTCACTTTTTGTCTCAAACCACTATATTACATCAAAGCGTTGTATAATACTATATTCAGTCATTCAGTGACTAAACTGCAACTTGACTGCTAGGGTTCGATCAGCAGTACTTAGCAAACAAGCGTGATGTTACCTCATATTCGATGATTAGTCAATATGAAAATAATTTTTAACCAAAATTAGTAACTAGAACAAGTGGTCAGTTGTAATTAGTTTCGTTTCCACTTAAAAAAATTTGTTCAGCAAGCTTTTGTACTAAGACACTGACTGTTTATGTAATATGTAATATAATAAACAAGCATTTATCGTTAAAGTAAGAATTATGGTTTTTATTTTTCTCATGACAGTTCCATACAAATAAATTTGCAACAATCTTGATGACTGAGTGTTTTCACTTTCCTTTTTGAATCATCATGTCTATTAAGGATTAATACTTAATTGAGAACACTTGTTAGGGGAGTAGTCCGTTGGTAAAGTAGAGAATATGATATAAAGATTCCCCATAAAACAGACTATGATAATTATCAGTCTCATATTTTTATTATCTGAGTTTTAGTTCTTAATAATTAAAATTATAAAACACTTATAAGGAAATATAGGATAGAACAGTAAACCGAATAATGACAGTGCAGTAGTGTTTAATTTAGACAGAACGAAAAAAAGTGATCGCATTTACTTTAGTTAAATTAAGTTTAAGAAGTATAAGTTATTTGGTTAACAAGAATATTTTATATTTAACAAAACAGAATCGAGTTAAACACTTAGCAGTTGTCTTATGTATCAGGATTTTTAATATAATCACCTTAGTGACGTTTCTTAGCATTTTACTTCTGCTTTACAGCAAAATTTTGGGATAGTTGAAAATCTAAATCGATCAGACGGTCATAAACGAAGTAAGCTCTAGCACAATTAGCCATCAGTTCAAGTTTTAACTCACTTCACTGTGAGCGGTAATTGATAATTTAGATAGAACATGAATTGCAACAGATAATAATAATAGTTGAAAAAAAAGCAATAATAAATAATAAAGCTCAAGAAGAACAGATGAGGTTGAGGAATAAAAAGTATGAACTAATAATAAACCTAATAATGCAAATAAATATAAAGAATGAATATATTTGCCTCTCTGTCAGTGATTTTAAACTATGTCATTTAAATTCACCCACAGTGGATTATTATAACTGCTCCATTAAATTTAGCTATGAAGTGTACATATTTTGACATTGTTCAAACCAAAAAATTATTATTTTTTCTAAACTGAAAATCTCATGTTTTTGGCTTGCTAGAATATATGTATAAATTATGATATTAAATTTACTTATGAAATGTACTTACTTCATTGACACGATCTTTTTTCTAGAAATTATTCAAATCCATTTATGTAATGAGGAGCGAAATATTCATTAGTATAGAGAGGAGGAGAGGACAGAAAGGATAATTATTGTAAATAGCTCTATAAGTGAGTAGACAACCTTTAGTGAAAATAATCAACTTATATGATATTTCATATTTTATTTAATTTCAGTGAAGATATCAAATAAACAGTGCACATGCCAAAAATGTACATTTTATTCTGTGTGACAATGTGTTACGTGTTTAATTCTTTAATAGGCATCTGAACGTGACAGAAATTTTAAAATTGTTAAAAGTATATATTGAATAAACCTTTTATACTCAATAAATAAAAATTTAACTACCTTTTTTTATATTTTTAATACAATCTGAATTAAACTATCTATGTATTGACTAGTTATTGGTAACAGTTTTAATGTCCATTAAGTCTACTCTATAGGACATTTTTATTGCGAGAGTGAATGCTGCATACCGAAGAATAATTATCACTAGGGCTTTCAAAAGCCCATAGTTGTCTGTAACTGTGTTCTATGTCTGTCAATGTTGCTAAGCCCAACATACTGGATGAAAAACATAATGTTTATGTTAGTTCAATATAATTTATGATAGGAATTGAAATGTAATCAATGAAAATTACTCTCTAATAAGCAGTGGTCACACACTAAATGAACATGAGATGTTCAAAAGTTCTAAATGAAGCATACTTACTAAATAATTTGTCGATCGCTGGCGAACGCATCAGAATAATAGTTTAAACTAAAGTATATGTCTGCTCATTGTCCACCTCTAAAAAATATAGATGTACACATTCTTTGTCATAATTTAAATCGTAAGTATGATCTCACTACATAAATTTTCATATAATTTATTTGTTTATTTCGATAAATTTTTAAAATTATATTTTCTTATTACCACTTTAATTTTGCAATTTTCACTTTCTTTCATCATACTGGTATGAAATAGCTCATCTTGAACTGAATTTGAACAATTTTAAGTCAGATTCTATTCTGTTTATGTTAGTGTTTTAACGTTTAAACTATTGGGTAATAAAGCCTATTTATAACGACGTGTTTATAATACACGAAATCATGAAAGTAAAGTTATAATTAAATTTTCTAGTCTATGAACAATAGCCTCACATAATAACCAAAAGCTTAGCAACCTAATGTACTGAACTCAATGGAATTGTTGTCATTGAATAAAACTGTACATTTGAAACCAAATCATGAGAATTAAACGAAAGGAAAACTGGACAAAGGAATAATCATATATAATGTATGTGACACATCCAACTGAAATACACTATCATGCAATATATCCATTTGAATTGATGCATTAGATTCTTATATACAGCTTCTTATTTTTATGGTTCCCATACTTGGCCTACTACTTACTTACTGATGTCCCTAGCTTGTGGTTGTTTGTTGAGAAATATGATTACTTTAAGTACGATACTATATTGTGGTGTTGATACATGAAATTTTTCCTTTGCTTATTCTGATATTTATCACTGACATGTCTACCAATCATTTTTTGTAATTATTGAACAGAGACTTCATTCAATAGAAATTGGATTTATGATCCACCTATCTGTTTTTAATAATTTTAAATTAGAACGAGAAGGTTCAGTTGAGTATATAGTGTAATGAATTATTGTATCAATGGAATATGTCTTATTTAAGAAACAGGTTAAAAATTTTCTAGATGAAATGAAAACTGAGATTATATATGTATAAACGTGGTGCGATATAGGTCCAATTGATTTTCATGGGAAGGTAAGTATTGATTAAATTTAGTTTGTTAAATATATATATATATATATATATATATATATATATATATACTACAACTGAATTAAATGTATTCAGTATCTTTACATTGTTTATAAGAGTAAAAACTACATATATGAACATTGTTATTCATCAAATATTTCGGAGTAATTAATGCATGTTCAGTGTGTATTTATCAATCAGACAAACCGTGATCTACCTACTGACTGATTAATTAAGCTGGCATATTTTTATGATCGCCTAAAACTATTTATTTGCATTTACAGTAATAAAACTAATCGTTACAGCTGTATAAGTCAATCATAGATATTGTACTCGCTATAATACACAATTATATTGGGTTTGGGCACCCGGGCAGTATCACAGCCCTCACGCATATCAAATGAGATCTGTGTGGCGCATATGTATTTGGTGCCTCCTTGTACCAATATTTATGTGTTAAAATAAAAATAAAAAAATAAAAAATATTGGGTTAGGTCCCATGCGAACTTGTTAGTGTACATTTTCAAGGAGTCTCAACGTAGTATTGTTTAAGTTTTGAGTGCTAATTATTTTAGAATGGTTCTCCAGCCACTAGTCGTCCTAATGAAGATTATGTTTAGGTTGTATAACTAGCTATTGATATTTTTATATTGTTCTTTAGGGATTTACAGTGATACCTCATTTCATAGTATGTAAGATTGTCCAGTTAAATAAATTTTTTCCGATTTAGCACTACCAAACTGGATGTGTTTGTCATAAAACTCGTTTTACCCTTTCTATCCACTGTATAGTCAGTCACAATCAAGTATGAAGCATGAAACTACAAGGTATCGGTTCAATTCCCTATACTTTAAAGAAGTATATGCGACATAAATTAACAAGATAAGAAGCAAAATAGAAATTATAGTGTCGAATATTACAGAAGGGCAAACATTAGAAATATGGTTAGTAATGAGCAAGTGAGCTTAAATAACATTAAAAATAGACAGATGCTAAATCCAAAATTCTGAGGAGCATAGAGAAAGGATGGAACTGAGTCACTGCAATCGATCTGTGGACATTTCATTATCGTGTCTGAATATCAGAAATCTATGTAATCTTATTCAGGAACCTCTTAATAATAGTGACGTGAAAATCATGTTTATACGTAACATGCAACTAAAAGTTATAAACTTCACAATGTTGTACTTATGCTTTGATTCCGTATTATGATGTCAAGCAAACTATACGCTAATGTAGCATATCACTAACTCACATTTTACCAATTTTCAATAATTTAAATTTGTTCGTTATAATATTTGCATCCATGTAAACTTGTTATTTCGAGAACCAAAAAAATATTTCATGCTAAACCGATTATTCAAAAGTTTATGACAGAGAACATATTGTTTCCGGAAGTTTTAATCAACTAGTCACAAAAATTTTGGGACACTGTAAAGGAATACGTCGATCCTAATAGCAACAAAATCAAGATTAACATGAATGAAAATCGAGAAGTCGAAATAAAATGGTAGTGAATAAACACACCGAAAAATTAGTTTAGAAGTTTCAACTCATTTACGTAGCACGTTTTAGATATAATACCGATTAATACGAACATGATACATACAATTATATTACTTATAAATTATTGAAAGTAATCTCATAGCTGTTTCAAGGTGGTGTCACTACCCACATTCGTTATACCGTTGAACCAATAGGTAAGTAAGGGAAATAAATAGAGGGAAAAAAGTATTAGGCAGTTGAAGGTAGTCGGAAGTAAAGTCTGAACCTAGGTTTTATACTGGCTAGTGCTCTTCAGAAATACTTTTTGCGATTTTCGGGAACTGATGCTTCCTGTGAAACTGAAATTTAAATCACCCAGATTTGCAGTCTGTGAATTTGCCTTTGAGCTTTCGGGACTGTGAACAACTTATAGGACTAAGAAGTTTACAACTGACTGATTAATGAGTAATGACTATTCTCAGGCTTGTTTATTACTTTAAGTACCGATCGAATTCAATCAAACAAGTTGACATGTCATCACTAGTCTAAAAGACTCGATATCATATGTATTGTGTCGAAAAGCTTTTATTAGTGTCATGAAAGTGTTCATAAATACGAAAATGATCTAGCCAAAAAGAATTTTCTGACGGGACTAAGTGTAATGATAAATTAAGACGTCCATCAATTATGATAAGATGGAAGAATTAATTTATTTAGACATTCGATTTTGCTTAATTTTATGTTACATAATTTCTATGATCTACGAATTGTTACATGTAAAGTGTATATTCTAGTATAACAAAAATCAAACATAGTAAATTGTTTGCCTTATTAAATCACACAGAAATTTCTATTTCTGGAGGACATAGTTGATTTTCTCAGCTAAAATTACTATTTGAGCAACTAATTAATCTTCATTTGGATCTCGAGCAAGAAGTCAACAAATTACTCTACAAACTGCGATAACAATCACTGACTTCATCGATCAGTTCTATTCATAAATTCTACTATGCTTCTAAATTTAACTGGCAGACAAAATTAAGGTTGACAGTTGTTAATGCAGCATTGTACATTTTTCTACAGATGCAGACAATTAAATCTATTATCACTCGAAATCCAAAGCCGTTATTCCCATCCCAAGATTCCACTGTATTCGAAAGAGAGACCAGTAACTGAATACATTTAGTTCTCTTGTCTCACTATCAAAATCTATAATACCTAATCATACAGATGATTTATAGGCACTCTTGTCTAGTACTTTGCTTCTGTACAATCTTTTGAATATCAAGCATTATCCGTAGATGATTTAACTCCATGAATGTAGAACATGATTCTTTTGCTTTTATATTGAGATTTATTCAAATAACAAAGAATAAAATTGGGTGAAGATATTCACATCCAGCTAAAACTTTATGTACTTATGAAAGCATATAATAAGTTAGCAACAGCATACTTTTCTGATTGGAGAACTCGTTTTAATGATATTCAGATTTTTTTTTCAAATTATTCACAAGACTCCTTCTTGTCAGTGTGTTTAGACAAACAAATAGTCATATTAAATGGGTTCCAGGCACACCCTGGCGACGTGACCCAAGTAGGGTGAAACGCATACCCTGGCCTCCACTGTAAGCTACAGTCCATTTATTCTGTATTAAGTCATATGAAGTGCGTTAAATAACTAAATAAAATCATCTCAAAGACATCTGATGCATTTATAATTCTAATTAACTATCTTTAAATGAATTGAATGATCATTTATTGATGTGATATAAATGTTAGTTTAATTTGATTTAGTTTTTTATGAATTTCCTGAAGTCAATTATTTAACCACATAATAATTTACGGTTCATAAAGCATGTTTATCATATAGTTGACACTCGAAATTATTATCTTCAATTTGTACACCATACTACCCAGTAAATTCAAGATCATTACAAAAAATGGATTATTTTTGTGATGAGACCGAGGTATTATACCAAATTAATATGGATTGATAAGATTATTAATCTCACTCATTTCCATATTTATAGAAAACAATGATTTTCATAAAATTAACTCAGGCAGAACCAATAAAGCTCAAATATATAGATCCAAAGATTCTGTTAACTTCCGCTTGCTTTAGTGAACCAAGGTGAAACGCTCTGAAGGGTTAGACATTTATGCTGGTTCATAATGATCGAAGTCAAACAACAGTTTAAATTGTAACTGGAACCAACATAACTTCATATTAAGTTCTACATCAATATCATTGTTAGATATAATGATATAGTTTTATAATATTTACTCTTTATTTTCCATCTATCTATGTAGGAAGAACCAAAATCATCTAGAGAAATCTGAGAAATTATGTAAAAAAATGGACGATAAATTATCTATAAGCGTTGGTGTGATCATTTTCAAAGTTAATAATACTATCAACATTCATCAGTGTTTAACAACGTAGGATATAACGTCACTGCTCAATTTATAATCCTTTCTCTTTAAACTTATTTAATCCGAGCAGTGAAAAGATGTAAGCAGCTTTTTCTACAAGACGTAAATCACAAATAATAAGATAAAAATCATGAATGTATAAGATATAGGGAACGAAATGTAGCATGGCAACTGAACGATCTTTTATATCTTCCAGTTATGAATAAAGTTCATTTGGTCAAATATTTATTTTCATGATTTTGTGTGCAATTTTTTATCACCATTGCTATAGTTTGATACTAAATTACGTGAGTATTATTCAGTCTCGTTCGAGGCAGATAAACTTTTGCAATAACAGTAAAGTGCATTTATTTAGAATCCTCTCACCCCTCAAATTGATGACAAATGTCATTTGATTTACCTAATGTGATTACTATTCACCAGTTTTTTTTATTTTCGACCTGAAATTGCTCTCTAAGATTTAAATTTTAGTGCATTATTATAACTTTTCTCACACCTAAATTAATACCCCCTACATACATAAATTAATCGAATACAATGATTTCCCAATATATATATATATATATATATATATATATATATATATATATATATATATATATTGATCCGAGCAAATGTCGAGCCTTATTATGATGACCTGCATCACCTAAGTCCATATTATTCTTGTTTAGGTTCATTATGATAAAGTTGACATTATTTTGGTTTAGATAAGAAACGGTACAACTGTTTTATTTTAACATCACACACAGCGTTAAAATATTTTGTCAAACTTACTAAAATATTTTTCAGGACAACCTTTGAGTTTCGTTTATTGACAAATTCACTGAATTTACGTGCATGCTCTAATTCTTCGTTTGCACTTTCACGAAAAAATTTCGCGAAACCTGACAATCCAACCTCTGGTCTAGATAGATAAGATGCCTACAATTGGAGTGGAAAGATGGAAAAGTATATTAATTCCGATGCATAAATTTACATCTACAAATTAAATAATGAATATCAAAGTGAACGAAATTGCTCATGTATAACTACATGGGGATGTGTGAAAAGAATTAGATTTATACATCACGTTTCCGCTGAAGAATTTCACTAGGCAGTATACAACTAGAAACTTCTAGAGAACATAACCTCCACTCTCAAAATTTCTCAGGAATTGTATAAAACAAATAAAATAGTAGTGGAGCTTATTTATAGCTAAGTTTGGTGCATCAGTTATTAGTAAGTGCTTGCGATATTGTCTTGAACAATAATGAAAGTTTTACAATCAAATCATCTAGCTAAGAGAACACAAAATCAATAAAATACTTATAAATCTAAATAAAATATGACCCCTATTTTTGTACTAACACGAAGAAAATGACTGATAGATATTACCAATGGTACAACTTGGAGTTGTGAAAGATTTTCAATCTAACAATAGCCTAATGGAATAATGAAAAACTTTTCAAGTGTTGTTGCACATACTAGGGCAGTTGTCGCATCTGGGTTGCCCACGCAGTGGTGTTCTTCTTCTTAAAGCATCTGCAACAGAAACTGGTTTAGGAGTGGTCTTGACACCCCGGGAGCATGACTGTGGTGCTTGAGAGATAACCGCTTGAGGGTGGTCACATACGGCCTTTTTTGTGAGTAGTTTTAGATAAATTAACTCATTCCTTTGGAGGCCTTATAGTTAGCGACGAGAATCTTTCTGACAAAGTGAGATGCTTTATTTTTTAACCGAGTGCCTATGTCTTGTGGTAAAACAAAATGGCCGCGGACTCTGGTTGTTTTAGATAACTGACCTACTGCTACCAGACTTTTATACAGTCGGAGGTGTGATTCCACCCTCGAAACATGGTTTTGTTACTTTCAGTTTTATTACTGTCCTAATAACTTGCCTGGCATGATCTATATGTTGCGAACAATGTAGCTCTACCGGATCACCACAACATACAAGCCTGACCACCACGTCAAGGTAGGAGTTATGGTCAGAATTGTTAACATTTCTAATCATAAAATGGTCATTATTTGGTTACATGTGATATAAGAATCTTAAGATGTTTCAGATGAGATCGCGAATAGATTGACTAGACCGAATGGACAATAACAATACATCGAAAAGTGCCCATTTCTAGAGTTTGTTTGTGATTAACAGAGTGATCTCAGTCTAGCTATACAGTTATCATTCCTTATAATTATAGTAAATGAATTGAGGATAGCAGGATTTACTGAAACTAATCTTGTGAGTTGGTTTTATTTCATGATCGATCAACTATAAATAAGAACAGATTGAAATCACAATACTTATTTGGAATAATTTAAACGAAATAAGGAATACATTATCACTGTGAACGACAGCAATTCAAGTGATGTAATTGGAAACTTTAAAAAGTAAAACTAAGGTATGCGTTATAATATGTAAATTACAAGAGTTGTAAAGACACCCCAATTTATTATCCATTCTAACTAGTTGGTTATGTAACAAATAACAGATGGTAACACAATTGACCGACATTTCTCTACTGCGTTAAAATCTGTGAGCAATTGTGTGCAATTAAAATAACATCAAAGTGAATTTACTAGTCAACACATACACAGAGATTGATTACGAACTCTGTTTCCACACAGAGATTCGAGTGATGTTTAATGTTTAGCGTTTATAAATTAAAGTATTCCACCTTTGAATTGCATATTACTAATTCCGAAGGTTTCTAAACAGTGAGCTTGATGTTAATTATACCCGGTTTTAAATTTTGAGTACATACACCATTTGTGGTTTCATATTTGGATCTAACCTGTCTTACTGTAAATTAATTTTCTCGATTTGACTTAAAATATCGTAGTAGTTAAACGATCGAGACTTGTGAATCGGTTTATCATTTGACCCGATTATATAGCTAGTGTATTAATGAAAATATAGAATGGAATCGGCTAACGGCATATGACGTGTACGTACTACTTATAGACTGAATAATAAGTAGTATCTTCTGCTCCGATTCCCTCGGATCACTTTCTATTGGTTGATCGTAAGTCGTTCATTAGTGTGTGTCGATTGCTTTCCGTACAACCACTGTTATACATGTAATTTATTCCAAAAATAATCACCCGGATTAGTAGGAATAGTAACTTTTCTTCTGACATTATGTATATGATTAGAAAAATTACGAATAAAAATTATCCCGAAACTTCAAAATCTCACTTATTAAGTAATTTTCTGTGTCACGTTCCATACAATTAGGATTCTATTAGAAATAAATGGGAAAACGTCGTATGTTATGTGACTACGAAACAGGATTATCCCAAAGACCATTGTCATAAATCATTTAAGGACTGCTCCATTACACATCAACAATGGATCATCACTTATACTTTCTATCACTTTTCAAAAAATTATTTCTTGAGTAAACTAACTGAATCTATCCGCTGGCAATTTTTCCTTAAATGATAGAATTTTAAATTAATATTTATTAATTCAATTTACAGTTTTAAAGTGTATTAAGTTAATAATGTTCTGTGCAAAATGCTCATGTATTATACAATAATAAAAAACTGTCTTTCTAAATAATAATTTTTTTGTAGTCATTTTCAATTCTTTGCATTCACTGTAAATAAAGTTACTAAGGGTTACATTATTATTACTTTTATAACATTACAATCATCACTTACAAGTAAACTATTTAATTTCCCTTAAAAATCACGACTAAAGATTTTTATTTCTCACTTTCTCCACTTACCATTTAAAAAAATATATAGTCAATGTCCGGGTGCATAATATCGCTTAAAATTCAAATTTTAAATTTTAAAATTAGAAACACAATACAAAAAAACCTCCGAATAAATTTGTTAATATGTGTTTATGTAAATCTACTACATTCTGAATAATGCAAAATATCGATTATTTGAAGACGAAATTTCTTTTTTATCATTATTCATAATTATGCTTAAATATGAGTGATAATCAAAAAAAAATTTACTTTTAATCTTATTATATGAATTCGAGTTGAATTCACACGTGGTTAATATGTAAAAATAATATAGATGTATTAATTAAACTGTGTATATTTTATTTACGATTCATTTATTTACAGATAAATCCCTATTTTTATTTGTTGTTGCTAAAATCAATTTGGTTTAAATTTTTTATTTGTAATTTTTTCAGTAATTTCAATTGTTGAGATCATGAGTCAATTGAAGCTAGACAACCATGGAAAACCTGGAAGCACTGGACGACCGTTTCGTCCTATTGTAGGACTCCTCAACAGTACGCATCCACAGGATCCTGCCTCGCGGGATTCGAACCCAGAACCTATTCAGCTTAGAAATTTTTTTTTCTAAACTAGACTGTTTACAAAGCTTAAAATATATATTCGGTATAAAGTTATCAATGTATAAAGAGTTTAGTTTCCGACTACATTTATTTATAATAATTAGAAATTATGAATTCAGATAGATTAGTAAGTTGCGCTTCATCATAATTGTAACCAGATTTTTAAGTTTTTTTAAGAAAAAAATTTTTGTGAACATTTTTAGAAACAGTAGTCCTCATATATCAGCCGACAGCCGTTTTATGAATATGAATACAAATTTCAATTTACACAGATAACGTAAAATTTTCATGCAAAAATAAGCTAGTTTGGTTTAATACTACAATTCATTAATTAGACCAAAAAAGAAGTCAACAGAAATAGAATATTATTGAGGTAACGAATTGATTTAAGTTGGACAACTATTTTAAACCTGGAAGCACTGAATTACGGTTTCATCTTAATGTCGGGCTCTTCAGAAGTGAATATTCACGACCTCACCGGGTATCAGACGTACAACTTTCTGTGAAGCAGAATGGTAATAAAGTAGACCAGAAGACTAGAGACTGAGAAGGTGAAAATAAGTGAAGTATGGTAAATGTGTTAATGTCATCTAAGCATAAAACTGTTGAAAAGTTAATTAGCAGAAGACTGAAACTACTAATTCCTATGAACATAAAGATTCCGTCAAGAAAGTTTAGTCATTTCGATACAACTCAGACTGATGGTTTAGTAATTTAAATGAAGATGTTGTGACATGAAGTGGTTCTTCTAAGCGTTCTTTCATAGCAATCCTAATTCAGCTAATGCCTTCAATTGTTATTTGCAATCTACATCCTCGAAGACATTTGTAATCTACAACTTGAATCCCACAAAATATCAAATCCTGAAGATCATGGTATACACCTGTTACGTTGTACAAGATAAACTGTTAAACTGTCTATATATCACTTAATGGTTAGTACAATATCTCATCTAGAGTATTTGAGTCAGTGTTCATTTTGAAATGTGCACGAATAAAAGATACTTGGATTCATTTGATCTAAACTTACTGTCGAATGTTAATATTATTTGAAGCGATTAATGAGTGACTGAATTTGCTTTAATATCACTTTCTTTTCGGTTATTTTATTAAACTTCAGTTCTTGCATTAAGATGAGATAATAAACAGAATTAAGCATACCTTGAATTTAAGAGATGTTTGGTTGATAGAACTAATTTTGTCTGTACATAAAAAAATACTAGATAGATAGTTTTAGATGCATAATATTTTATCCCATAAATCAAGTAAACAGGGAGAAATCATTCACTTTATTGTTAAATCTCCTCATCAGATTTTTTTACTGGAATACAACAAATATCATAGTGATATATCTATCATAAAAAAGCAGAATGTAAATGAACCAGAATAATTGTTATTTGTAATTGAAAACGATATTCTACATAAATCAGCTTCAGATCTAATCTTAAAACTAATAATATTTACCATATTTAAATTAATCACATTTCATTTCTTTTTGAGAACAAATCAATGTGTAAGATTAGTATCAGAATCATTAACAAATATAATCTATCAAGTAGTTAGTTACATTTCAGTAATATTTAGAAGAACTGAATACCTACTGATTGTTTATGATACAGACACTTGATGTAACAAATACGGTGGACTGTATGCATTAACGTAGTGATCAGAGGAAGATTAAAATGTCCACATACAAGCCTGATCAGAATTGTATCTATTTATTTTTCAAGTAATCACTATGATTTTTCTTCTCTAGTCCGATGAAGAATATCTGTAGTGAGATTTGTGACATTACTATTCAACTGATAAAAAAATTTACATACTGTTCATTTATATGGTTATACAATAAACCAATATCAATAAACTATGTGTATATATGCTTCATATTGTAAGTTAAAACAAATAGTTTTATTTTAAAAAAGGATTACGATATATCAGAAAATTTTGCACACTAATAGATAAGAAATATTAGTAAGGTTATTAAATTGCAGATATAAAGTCGTTGATATTCCCTACCCCCTATTATAAGTATTTAGAAAGTCTCCCCTTCATTTACTGACAATAATTCATAGGATGAATTAACTACAAGTAACAACCTGTTTAAATGTAACTTTCAGAGGTGTTTGTATGGTAATGGTTGTAGTGTTAATCTTTAATTAGCCTGTATACATTGTTATTTCTATCACTATTAGCGAAAGAAAACATCGAATATTTGAATTTGATTTTCAGTATTGATTACTTTATGATAAAACCCTTTATTCTCGGTTAATAAAAACGACCTATCAATAAGCAGATCACAAATTACCGCAATGACATTTGTGACACCGAAAATAACAAGTCTGTCTGGATCGACATTAACTAGATATTTTTCAAATACAATTAGGAAAATAAAAACCAGAGAACTCTGTCAACACTGGTACACTTACGATATGGTCATAAATATAAAAAGCCTCATACTCATTTAGAATTTGATCATTTAATCCATCTTCCACTTGGTTATCTAAAGCAGTTGGATCTGCGACTTCACCGCGAATTTGAATTGGAGCTGAAAATACGAAAGAAAAGTAATTTTTATTGATGTAATATAACAAAAGTGATGGTAAATTGAAATATGCGGCCTTTAAACAATACTCCCTATACTGGTTGTTATCTCATACATGTAAATATAGAACTACCTTTAAAGACTATTAAGTGAATATCTTGAATGTTTATATGTTCTTTGGGATTTGTTTTAAATAACAAGTGGTAAAAATCCGATGCTTTTGTAACACTTAACAGATGATTCGTATTTACTTATTAAAGATAAGATTTATGTTTATTGTCTAAAATTATCGTCATTTTTACAGCTTTATCCAAACCTTCTTGATGTCCTGTATCGGTCAAGTATCCTTAGTTTTTTCTACCCTTAGTTTTGGATGATAGTATTCGAAAATTCAGTAATGGACTTGTCTAATTGCACAGTTGATGTAAATAGCTGACCAGAAGCTGTTAACTATTTAAAACTGCAGATGAATAATCATTTCCAACAAGAAAAGCCTACTTTTTAACCAGGCTGGTGCAAAAATTCTGTCTACATATGACGTAGTTGTTTCAAGTATCTTACGTAATTGTGTTCGTGGTAAACATGTACTTTCTTCATTTCAAGTTTTCTTGATATGAAAGTTACACGTAGTTTTCTCTAAGTGTATTACTAAAATTTACCGTTAACACCACTGCTAATGATGAGTTTGATAAATTGGATATTTTCATCCGCCTTTCATAACTTTAGTTATTTTGATGTATATGTATTAGTGTATTACATAATATAAATAATGAAAATATTAAAAGTTATAAGGCTGTATTGGGATTCAAACAGATGTTAGTTTTCTTCGACGTCTTAATACAGAATCCATTTCATATCTGAACAACACTTTATCTCCGCAGTAAAGAAAGCACCATTTATTTTAGTTTAAACTGATACCATCTATTTAAACGAAATCTTTTACCTTAAAACTCTAAAGTTGATGAAAATGGGAAAACACTTGGGGAGTTTAGTGTTTAGTCAAATGTTGTTGTATAGAATACATCATACTGAACGACAATTGTTCACTTGTTGTTCATTTTCGGCTATCAATTTATGAACTGTTCAAAAAAAGATACTTTCAAATTAACATGAAACACATAACACATAAAACTTAAAGTTTCACTCACCATAAACAGAAAGAATCCAAGTAGTAAATACTATCATCCACATCATGATCTTCACACGAATTGAATGAAGCGTATTTCTTCGAACAATTGCTTAGATAAATGTAGTTAATGTTAACTAGCTGTAAAGTTAAATCTAAATATTAAATTATTGTTTTACCTTGGAATTTTATATATCAATAATTAAAAATTATTGTGTACTATTATATTGATATATTATTAACATAAACAATTTTAAGTAATTCAATTGGTTTTATAAAATGAAATTATTTATTTAGTGGTTCCAATAGCATATGTAAATAAATTTAGAACAATTAATACATGAATTGAGGGCAGTAGTTCGAGTTTATTGGTTAGACTGGACAATTTTATTCTGTCATACGACTAAACTATAATAGTATTGATAATATTTATAAAACATTTGTCTAGTACGAAAAACTATCATATAATTTTATTTGCCTAGTATTTGTTATTTTATTAAATTGAATTATTAATTATTATTGCCAAGTTTCATGACCCAAAATATAACTTGTAATAGGAAATATTTTATCAGTAATAACAGGTAAACTAAACAGTGTCAATCGGTAAATTCATGGCAGGTTTAAAGTAGATTGGGTTGTTACTGGATTGCTATTGTACATAATAGATTTCTTGAATTAATAGGTTAACTCAAGTTATTAAAGTTTTCCGTTATAACATTATACCTGTTCCAGTTAATGTAACATTCATATGTGGCTATATACTTGTTTCTTGTCTAATTCTATTGTTTAAAGTATCTCTAGAAGTCCTAAGAAGTCAAGTTATTCAAAATATTCTATCAATTCCTGTTTTATTGTTTACTATTTACACAGCCAGACCTTCTAAATTCAATTCACCAACAATTATCCGAGCAGTTAATCGATAATCGGAAAGTACGAAAAGCTTCTCAAGTTTGCTGTTTTCATCAATGGTCGTCTTTTATTAGCATCATTTTTGTAGTCTTCACAGCTATCACTGAATCACTTGATCAGGTTGAAAACTTCTGTTTCCTTCAACATTTCATTTCTATACACAGTCATTACCATATTCTGGATTTTGTGGAATATATTTTTTAGATTTCATCATGAAATGATATAGCCCTATTAGAGTTTTTTGTGGAAAAGACTACATATTCACCTACTGATGGCAATATGAATATAAATACGGGTCACGTTCATACCGAAATCTTCCGAATTACTAGTTTAGCCGAACATTTTTATGTAATTTTGGTCTCAATTAGTTTAAGAACAACTAAGTGTCTATAGTTCGTTATGAGAGGAATACACAACACCTAGAGTTTGATATAAGTTGCAGAGTTATTTCATAAACAAGTCAAATTGTTAAACTAACAAAATATCTTGATATTCGTTAATTTTTATCCAACTACAGTTCAGATCTACTACTATCCTTTATATCCAACTGAATTAACAGTCAGTTGTTACTGTTTATCGTTATAGTTATTATTGATTGACTGATGAGAAATGACGTTGTTGAATCGAATGAACGAAAACAATTATTTCGCAGCACAAATAACAAAAAATCACAATAGAGATTCAATTTTTTCAATGCCTTGGTTAATATCTTTTACTGAATTATTTAAAAATTGAATTCATGGTTCTATATTCTTAATATTTAATAGTTAGTGGCATAATTATTATAAATTCATTAAACACCGGACATTGTACGTACGACCCGTTTTTTCATTGATAACTCATTGAACAGTCATAAGTGGATAAAATCATACTATTTATATGTATTTATACTTATAGATACGGAAATTGTCGTTCGATTGAAGCCTTACTTCTCATAGCATTTATAAAAAGTAATTACAATACTTTTTTTACTATATATATTAATGAGCTACTTTAGTGAACACTTCTAGTACATTTCCTTGCTTTCTTATTGTACATCATGCAGAACTACCAAGAATTGTATGCCATGTCGTAAACTTAAAGAAATGCATGTTCCTTAATAGACTTCTCAGTGGCTAAATGTTTTAATGTTCGTCGAGAAATTAATTACTCATGTAACAAAATGTTGCGTAGAGTCGATGACGAATATTTATGAGCATTACTAAAAGAGAATAGACTAAATATATTGGTCGTTACCGTTTGTTGATATGGGAATTCTTCATATACTTACCTAATTGATGGATACTGACTAAGAAAGCATTATGTCAACTAATTTTTTTATTAACAAAGAGACAAAATGTTCTTAGATATATGGTTTTAGAATATTAAAGATTCCCAGTTGATATAGTAGCTATGAGATACCGAAAATTTCCATGCTTTTGCTTAAAAAATTATTATTATTCATACTAATTTGGTATAATATAGGCTACTAAATATCAAAAAAGACCACAAACTAAGATTTCCATCACATGTGTGGATACTACTGAGAAGTATCAATAGAGCTGATATCTATAGTCAGATTTTTCTGCTTTTCAAATAACAAAAAGTATCCATCTTATGTTCGATGCTTATGTTTAGGAACAAATATACAGAGCTGACTTTTTAATTAGTGAACCCAATTTTAATTAAACTACAAAAAATCGATGTCTCTCCCGAATTTAAAGATATGATTATTAGCTATTAATTTTGTTTATCTCAGAGTATTTTTGACCTATTACATACAAATATCAGGCAACAAAATAATTTTGCCACTTAAACTGAGTCCAGCATCATATTTGCGTGTTTATTATACTAAACGTTGATTGGTGCGTTTTTCGGGGATTATTTGGATAGGTCATTCAATCGATAAGAATTCATTCAAAGTGTGCCTGTAGATTGCATTGTCTCCCCTCCCCATCCCATAAAATGATCGACCAATGAATAATAAGTCGGACCAATAAAATTGTCATGTTTATTATTTAAAAGTCACTTTATGGTCTTCACATTTAAAGAAATTGCTTTTATTAATGGACCTAGATTGTACAGCCAACTCCTCAGTTTCGGACTCTCAATCAAATGAACATACCGTCGAATCTAGTCCAACAGAATTAGGCTATGAAAATACTATAGGAACACCGACAGGAGTCGAACATTACTCCGATATATATGACAACCGATCAAATAAAATTGTGACCGAAGACCCTAGAAATAATTTGGAGTCGTCAGTGAATGAAAGTGGCTACAGTTCCTACTGGTAAGTTAGTCTAGGTCATTATTTTAAGATACCTAGTAAAGTGTACTTGGAACATAAAATGTTTGGATAAATTACTGCCTAGTCTGAATCTAGCATATTAACAATCTCATATACAATAACCTTAATTAATAAGGACATTTTTTAGAAGAAAATGTCACTAAAATAATCTGAAGAGTGATGTATTATTGATATGATAAAATGAATTAAGCAAGGTATACTGCTATCATATATATTCGCCGGGGTCTATTTCGATGGTGATTGACTGACTAGAGTCACTAATTCATCATTAGATTCTTTGAAGCATATGATGCAATTCTATCGACATTACTCTAATGTAGGTAATATGCAGTCGTAAGCCCAAACTATTCCAATTTAAATCTTACGGGAATAAATTAAGTATTAAAAATTTACTGCAACTTTTCAACGAAAATCCGTTATGAATCCTGGATAGTAAATAAAATTTTCAAAACCTTTGTTTCAAAAGAGTTTAAGTCCATAGATTTTAACTGAAACAAATTCTTCTCCACAACTATCTACATAGTTGATGTGATTATTATTCGGTTGATAGAACTTAACATTCAAACACGATATCATGTTAAATACCGATAGTGACATTGATGAAATATAGATAAAATGTGGAGGTGTATTCCCGTCTTAAATGTTTCGAATTTTTTTAAAGAATGGTGAGCATAATATCCGATGTCGTGACAAAAAAACATTCGATAATGTAATAAGGAGACCACAATCTTCGTATTCTTATTACATTACCAAAATTTATCAACGGGACTAATTGCTTTAAAAAAAACTTGTTAATTAATTAATCCCGTTGACTTACGTTAATGAAGTCCTATCATTTGCCACAAGTGATACTATGTCGTCAGTATGAATAATTATTAACTTTCCTTACAATATATATTGATCAAATATTTAAAAAATTTTAAGCGGATCAATAATATTTAGAAATCTATGTAGATCACCATATACTATTACGCGAGTATATTTGTAGATTTTAACTTTATTTCTTAATACCTTTCTTTTAAACTCTGAAGTAACTATAGTTACATATCAACTGAAGATGCAATAACTAAACCTGAAGAAGGTGAAACTCAGTTTTGCGTCAATGCATGCCATTCGATCTATACGATTCCATATGTGCCAGAGAACTTAACTAACAACACTTGTTGTCATGTAGAATATACAAGTGACAATAACGAGACAGTCAACGCAGTAGCATCCATAGTTAGTCATGGTGTTAACTCTTGCAGTTACATCCCTGTTTCTAATATGGTTACTTCTGTTATCAATCACAATCATATACCAACAGTTGCGAGTGAATTCACCAAAATCTTTAACTACCAGTGTGACACAATATCAACCCCAGATATAACAAGGAAGAATGATAATCAAAGAAATTTCAAAAGTGATCCTGAAACGTTTTGGGTTAGTCAAAGTGATGACATTCAAAAGTCAGTTATCAGAAGAACAGGTCATCTATCAAGCGATAAACAAAATGCGTTGGATGGTTACGTAGACAGTAAAAATACTCCTACTTCTACAGACCAACAATTTTTACAGCAACAGGAGTGTTTAAACAATTATCGTGTCAAAGAGGACGATTCCAAAGAGTCGTATAATTCAAATTTTCCTGAATTCGCGTACAACTTAGCGAATACACATTCTCAACATTACACAACAAAGGATTTTAATTATGCCAGATCTCAGAATTCTGTGATAGACTGTATCTCATCATACCAAGATAGTTCTCAAACTTCTGAGAGCGTCAGTGCTTGTGTTAAAGGGCCATCGTTTTATTCTCAAACCCATAACGTTTATTGGCCTTGGGTTGACAGATTTTACGCTGAAAATTGTGCTTCGAAATTAGGCTCAGTTTGTAATTCGGATGTTACTACTAAGGGACTGATGAACTACACAAGTTCATTCTCTTGTAACCCAAGCTTTGGTCATCCCTACAATTCACAGTCTTTATTCATCAGCGGTGCCGATCTTTCTTACATCGGTGAAAAGCCAAATGAACAGTCTCAGTCTTCGAAACTTTCAGCAGTAAATTTATGTACAGGGGAAACTATGTCTGCTTTTCATTCTATTGCTCAAATGTCGAGTGATTACTCTGGGACATCTGTGGTTGCCGGTAATATACCGAATGTCATTTTAATGAACGCACAAAGCAGTGGTGATTTTTCAGCTCAGTCTATCGATAATCGTAAAGAATCTCAAGAAGGTGAGAATAGCTTTAATCATAGTGAAAACTCATGGCAACAAGAACTGAATTCAGTCCAGCGTTCATCACGCAAGAGATTGTCAGATAAACAGAGAAAGACTATATGTGTTTCGATTCTTAACGAAAATCAAACTGAAGATTCACATATTCCTCAAGATGAAATTACGCACAATTCCTCCACATCTTTCGATATTTCAAGCCTTCACCGAGAAAATGAGATTTGTTTAGACCAATCAGTCTCTGGAAATAGCTATGCATGGGCTTCAAAAACTGATAAACTGAAATTTAATTCCCGCTTAAGATCAAAAAGATATTCCGACGCAATAAATTTAACACGAAATAGACCATTAAACCAAACTGCCTTGAGTGTGATGGAAAGTTGGTATACAAATCATGTAGATAACCCGTATCCTACAACAGCGGAGAAAGAAGAATTAGCAGCACTTGGTGGAATAACAGTCATTCAAGTAGGTTAATTCTATAAATTGATAATCAGTTATGAAACAGCTTATCTGGTGACTTTTTATATTTCGTAGTGGCATTTAAATTATTTGTTGCGTGGTAGCTCTAAGCTTGTGAGTAAGCTTTTTAAGAATCGATAGTTTTGCTTTTTCATATAATTTTTTAAAAGATTATTCAGGAATTAACTCTAGGAATTTCAGTAGTCAGAACAATTAACCTTTTAATATTTGTCAAATGTTAGACAAATTTTTTTACAAATTTTTGTGGGTTAGTTAATTAATTAAGTGATAAGAAATGATGAGAAATCTATTTAAATGTCCTTTTTCTGAAGTTGTTTTTAAATATGACTTTGGAGAGTGGGTCACAAGTACCTTAGTTTATGTCATAAATTAAAATATACTGGAAAACGTTTCTGCAAAAGCTCCTCGATATGTGCAAAAATGAACATAATTGGGTAATTCAATTGTTTGCTGTTACTATTTGTTTATGGACTTATGAAACGTATACTTTGGAGCTTTGAACCATAATTTCTTAAATGATAGACGTTAACAATTTTACTATGTTTATGGCTGAGTTTTTTGTTCATGGTATCAAGTTATTTAAAAACCCATTTCAATTACAGGTGAGCTCTTGGTTTGCCAATCGCCGAACACGAACAGCAAACACCAAGCCAAAGAAGAATCGAAGAAAGTTGTATCATCAAATTTATCAACTGGCCGTTGAAATTGAAACATTAACACAGGGAGCACTCCGAGCTTGTGATTTACAAGAACGAATTGGACAAATTATTGATGAATATTTAACGTGAATTTTCCAGCCTTCCTGTTAATAACTTAATTCTTGTTTATAGTCAGTTCCTGTTAACTTTTTTGAATCTCAGGTTCATTTTTTGTTCTTGTTTATTTTTACTTTACTTATTTGGAATTTTTTGTTTGTTTGTCAGATAATTCTTTTTCTTACTAATACAGTTTTTTTTATTGAAGTCTGCTTCTTTTTTGCTAAATTCTGGGAAAAATGTGATCACCTTAAGCTTATAGTAATTTTGATATGTCACGTTCCTTATTAAATTAGCATATCAGAGTACTTCATGGTTACGCCAACGTAGTTTATATGAGAGCATTTAACTCAGATCTATTGAATAGATAATATATGAAGCGATCCGCTTGTTTGGTCATATTTTTACCGTTTCACAGTCTGTGGTAGCAAGTACGGCAGATACGTGACTTGATGGTTAAATCATTTACAATCACTTTTTACTGATTAATTGTTGAATATTTTAACTAGATACCGGGCTGTCCAAGTCAATTATAAGCAAGCAACCTCCATTTGTTTATTTGAACAAAACTTGGAAATATTTTCAGTAGTTATTATCTACTAAAGTACTCTTGTGATAAATACGTTGAGTTAGTCTTTGGAATACTTAAGATTATTACGAAAACTTCATTTGTGATCATCAATAATTTTTCCTTTTTATTCCATTTGTTAGAATTACAATTCATGATGGTCAGTTGACAGATCAAGTTTATCAGTCATATGTAAAAACATATGAATAGTGTACTACTCTCCGAAGTTTGTTCTAATGATGTTAGCTAGCAAGGCAGTGAAAAGTTCATGAATAAACTACGTAACTCCACCAAACAGGATTTAATTTTCTGCACAGTACTTTGCCTTTTATATCACAAACGCTAACATGAGTTATCCACACTTCACAGTCTTTGTATAATTTATCTCAACGGATATCAAGATATTTCTCATAAGATATTTATGACGACTATTTTCTCTAGCAGAGATAAACTACAGAAAAATTGGATTAGCATAGTTTAAATAACAAAATAATCTTAGCGAGAAGACGACTAGAAACCGGAAGGCGATGATCGGTCGACTGTTTTTAGTATGGGAGGACTCATCAGTTTTCCAAGATCCGGGAGCTGAATCCAGCATCTACGTTCTCGTGAGTGATCATTTAACTTATAATTCACTGAGCTGGCTCCGATGGTGTTCGTTTCTAAGTTCAATATGATGATAATAATTATGTGTTCAAAAGTGATTAAATTCACAGTGCGATTCCTGGAATTTTAGGGAGAAGCCGTGACCGGTGGCATTCATCCATGTACGGTACGAGATAGTTATTCATATCTGACCATGAACGGGGGTTGTGCAATATCGTAAAGTGATTGAAGCTATACACCAATACCGTTGGATGCCGGTTCAGTTGTTTTAAATCTAAGCGTTCTTGAGCGGGATCGAGAGTTAGGAGTTCTTCGTCCCTCATGGTAGGGTCTTGGGTGTGCACCGCTGAGAAGTCCCAAACTAGAACGCGATATCTATCCAGTTCTCCTAGGTATTCAGTGATTATCTAACCAAGACTAACTTGTTATGTAATCTGTGGAGATTCATGATCTTCACAAACCTCCTACACGAATAATATTTAATCATTATGTCTAACGGAAGCCTGCAAAATTTAACCAAATTAATGTGGAGACAAGTAGTCATTGTTTGTAAAAGCCTACTAAAAAAATAATTTGATTATGTGGAACATTCAAGAACGACATGTAATGGATATCAGGATGACTAATTCTAATAATATTTCCACCATAGATTTGAAATGTCAGTTTGGTTCCTGCACCATGACGTCGGTATGATCTATATATATATGGAGTAAATGTCAACTATTTCTGTTTATTTATATACAATCTCGTCATAAACGCAAACTATGTTTTCAGTTTTCATGTCATCATTTTACGACTAATAAAGTAGACTCACTGTTCCGCAATTGGTGATCATTCTGCAAAAAGAAATCTGTTCACTTAAGGCTGAATTAAAGTTATTTCGATTGAATTCACTTTTTCATTTTTATTACTGGAAGCAGTATGCTCAGTCGGGAAAAATTCATTCAGTTCGTTCAGATGCACCCATCACTGACAATTCACATAAACGACAAGACTGTTTTGATTTAATTGTTCCTAATACCTCTGGTGTTTTTGTTGATTATTCATAATACATGTGACATATATAAGATCAATATTTTATTGTTTTTTTCGTATTAAATATGAACGAATCACATAATCAGTGTCTAAGTAAAAAAGAACTTATTACAGTATGAACAGAAAGATGCAGTTTGAGGATTTGTAATTGAATGACCTTTTATCAGCCTTACAAACCATAACAATTTTATTGATTACGTTTTTTGAATGAAATGAACTAGTGATGACTTGTCACATGTAATAACTAGCCTTGACAACAACAAAGAAAGCAAAAAAGTAGTAAATTTGTCTGTTATTAATTTTATTTGACATCAGATATCAAAGCGTTTAATAAACATATATTGAATGCTCATCATTCATTACATCAACATTCGCTAATGAACAAAATAGTTACGTAATAAAATGATGAGCTGAGAGATTTTAATCACGGTATTCAGTGTGCATTTCTGAGACTTACAATTAAATTGTTAATATACCTCGAAAACTTTACGTAATATATTTTTGAATGACAATATTAATAACTGAAATTCAGATCAAATGATTTGTATTTACCTAATCAAAATAGACTATATTTGGGTATACATAAACAAGGAGTGTAATTCTTAAATAAATGGTGTGGCTATTCTGTATGAGATAGGTGGTAGCCTAAATATATCAGTGGTTTATTTTCTAACTGTCATAGTTTGATGAGACAGGAATTTATAAAGGAATAACAGGTCTCCGTGAGAACACATATGGGTCCGTCTGAAGAGACCTATACAATCAAAACACTTAGTAGTAAGATCAATCTAAACCTTCTTGTCAAGTAACCAAGGCTATTGACTACACTGTACATTGATGGAGAGAATTTTGTCAGCACCAATTTCTAAAAAGTATGACATTCGTAACTACCACGTGATTATTTGGTGCCAAATCTTTTTTTTCCGGATGTTTGAACAAGGATCATTAAGTGAGCTACAAGTAATGACTTGTTTAAAGTATACTAACTATAAGCTTGTAACTATAACAATTGTTTGTCATATGTTTTTATTTAATACAACTCTGTAAGCAGTTATGGTTTGTAAATACACAAATTTTGCAGATGAGGTAATTCTAATTTTGTCACTTTGAGTTAACTGATCTCATTCTACTCATTTATGATTGTTGAGTTTGCTGTAGAATCTAAGAATGTATTGGAAGGAAAGTAAGTTTGGTGGTAATTTAACAGCAGGCAATTTGTATGAATATGTAATCAAGTGTCCGCCGTTGCCAACTGTAAATTAAACTGACGTGCTACATTGACTATTGGGTTGATCGTTATACCGGAAATCGAATAATGACTTCTAGATAACGGCAATTATCTGTTCATGATATTAACGCCCATTGAGTAAGAAAATACAAACTTTCAGTCCGGAATCCACGAAACAATTTTAGACTATGGTTAGCGGCGTCAAATCATACTGTACAGAATTTGTCTCAGTAGTAGTGACACATTCATTTTTCCTTTTCTTCAAATTCTTGTTCATAGTATTATTCTGTACTTTATTGTCCTCGATGCCATGCTTTTATTCCCATTATAATTAATTTTCTCACTACGATCAGTATCATTAATTTTAATTCTTCTTAGACTTTATTTATAAAAGTTACCGATTTCTGCTATACATATTTCTACTTGCATAACTCTAATTGCTACATATCTCTTAGTTAACTGTTTATGTTTTATATCTGAAAAATGTCTAAGCAAAACATATTTATTAAATAATGAAGAACGGCTGGATAATTTCAGACACTTCGATGATTGACCATCAGTTATATATATATTTCAATGAAGCATTTTCAAACACAACAAACAGTTAAGCAAGAATTAACATTTCCATTATCGAACCTTAATTATCGAATCATTGGTTTCTTTATAGATTAATTCTTATTGGTAGTGTAAAATGAAGTCAAAACGTTTAAAATTTTACAAATTAACCTGAAAACATACTGTTAGTTTCAATACATAAGGTAGAATACAAAGAATGATAAGCCAAATACACACCACTTGTCTTTTTTCAGTTTAAACTCAGTTTACATTAGAGATCGCTTATAATTTACAAAATGGTATGTTTACAAAGAATATATTGTTATTACTGACGTAATTGTTTCGAAAATGTGGTCAAACCTAGTGTTGATAAATGCAAATTTTGAAATTGTTTTGAACATTTCTGAAAAAAAGTTAAAACCAGATATCAGAAAATAATTTAGTCGTCGAGATATAACTACTATTTCAAAATCACATCCAATGTAATGCCCGAAAACAGTAATTCCCTACAGTTATTTTAACAATTTACAAATAATGTGTTGAAATGAAAACAAAATAATACCTTCATGAGAAAACAATGAAAGCACATGAAAACATGAATATAGGTACCATAATGTAACAAACCTTTAAAGACCATGAGTGACAATATTTAATCTAACAGTTTATCTACCTGGTGTCTTATGAGATTCTGACTAAATCAAAGTAGTGGAGTACACCAATATTGCAGATTAGAACAAAAACTCAAATCGATAAAAGTATACGAAATAACGAACACCTCTTATTAATAAATCTTATGATAACATCAATCAGTAAGAAATTGTTAATCTTTAAAGTCTACATTAGAATCATTATCACACAAAGCACTAATTAAAACCAACGGTAATACACCACAAAATAACTAAATCTGATAATGTTGATGATATCACAGGTTTTCGGAGTTTGATAACGCTTTAACTAGTAACACCCTCTAATATGAAGCATACCCACCAAGTGAAATCAAAAGACAGAAGCGAGGAGGATCGAAGATATATTTGATAAGCTATCAATATATTGAGGATCGTCTGAACTAATCTGGCTAGCGATTGCAGTAGATGTGGAGCACGGCGTTCCCACACGTGATCTGGTGCGGATGCATGCCCGAGCGCCTTCAGCTAGACGAGTTCATTAAAACTGTGGTCAGCATCCAATGTCGAAAACTTACAGAGCTATTTATTTTGGGGATTTATTTACCGCTACATTGTAATTTGTATCATTAACAAGAAAAAGCAATTTACTCGATGAGATTTTTAATAATAATCTAAAAATTTGAAAAGTTGAATTTAAGTGTAAATTAACGATCCCATTTTCATTTGAATATAGTTTACCCCACTAAGTGATATTGCCTGAAGAACATTTAAAATTCATGGATCACTAGACACTTGTGTTGTTCTAGCTTATAAAATACCAATCCCGTGAATTTATAATGCCGGGGAGGATTTAAATAAGAGATTTCAGGTCATATGTTAACTTTGGACCATTTACTTCATCTCCAGTAGTCCAAATGTTCGAATTTACTCATTTGGCAACTCGACGTGATTATTCAGTGTTACCAGAGAAAACCGTTTCATTCTTGACATGGTCAAATTAGAGCAGTCTCTAGAGTTTCTTAAATTCATATGGGTGGTGATCATTAGATTGTAGGTGATTATTGTTTCTATGATGAACACTTTAACCAGATAAGCTTGCTACACAAAACACGCGTTCATGTACTGATTTAATTTCACGATTTACCAAAAAATCTCAGTTTTACGACACGTTCCTACTTTACAGTGATAACTAGTGAAAATGAACAAGCAGTGGATATATATGTCATATAAGTACAGGACTAATCAGTTATGTGCATCCATAACACGCCAGAGATTGAAACCAGGACTCCTAGGCCCTACGGCAAAACTCTAAATTTCAGACCACTAACTTGACGTGCAATCGTTCAAACATCTGTCAATTCGTAATACTGTCCAACCATCATCGACTGGCATTGATGATATTTATCGCTTACTCAACACGGTTATTGCTTTTTACTTTAGATCAGGAAATCAACTCCGAAAACTAGCCACAAATCATTGCGTGATGTGGAATTCATTGCTGACGTACTATATGCTAGGACGAAATAGCTACCCTGGACTGTCTACTTTTCGATGATTATTTAACTACTGCCTGTTTACGATGTAACATATTCATGACTCAATAATCTCCACAACCTTATCTACTAACGATTAGAATTTGTGTGATAAACGCCGAAAAGGACTGCTTCTTAAGTACTTAGGTATTGGTGGTTATCTTCTCACTAACAATATCATGAAGTCCTGGGAAAAAAATAAACAAATCCACTCGAAATTAAAGTGATAAGCTAAACTACTTAAAAGTGTCTCTAAGTAGTCATTTTATTATTTGATGAAATATTAGTTCTTCAGGAAGTGGATTATATAAATCCATTGAAATTTGTCATGAGTGAGTTATATTCACACTTAACTCTGATTCTCATTGACTTGTACTCACATATGTGAGCATATGATTCACCGATCAATAATTATTGAATCTTCCTCTAAAAATTGGTATCAGATTAGTAGATTTACAGAATCCATTCTGTTTTTGTTAATTTGAAAAAAAATGTCTTGAATGTTTTAACTAATAAGAAGTGATTATCATAATTAAAAGACGAATTAAAATCTGCCAGTAATTGTTATGATAGTACAAACAAAACATATTGACTTTTTATCGTAAATACATCATCCAATCAGTATTTCAAACAATGATGTATGTAAATGAATTGAATTTAGGAGATCAGCCTGTAGTTTTGAATTAATACATAATCATTAGTTATCATTTCAGGTTCAGTAAATTTCACTGGATGGCCGCTTCTTCCTAGACTGTAACTCCCCATCACTGATCCTATAAATCCCTTGGTCAGTGAAAAAAAACAAGCATTTCCGTCGTTTAAGATTAAATTATGGATAGGTACACTCACTTAGAAGAATCATATTTCACATCAGTTCAAATGAACCTTGTTTGTTTTAGTTTTGGTGGATTAAATTGATAAAAGCTAGCAAATTATTATGCCTTCCGATTCCACATCAATATGAAAGCGGAATGATATATTAACATACATCATTTAGAGATATCTCAGATTAAGAAATTAGGTTAACCTCTAAATGAAGAGGTTCATTGTAGTGCAACACATGTAGATAGAGAGGAATTTATTCTATCTGATGATTACTTTAGCGCCTTTTTAACTTTCCAGTTTTGCTAAGGACTAATAATGTGATCATTTTCTCGTCACTGGAAAAATTTTACTGTATTTTATTTGTGCTGATGCAGTTAACTACGAGTTCAGCACAAAAATGTTTACATATCGTGAAAACTTCTGGCCTCAATAGTTACCAGAGAAAACTGGTTACTTATTCTATTCATGATGTTGGAATAAATGTTACTTGATGATGATAAGTGTAGTAGTAAGTAAATCCTTGAAATAATTGACTTCGTAAGTCTTCGATATTGATGGCGACCTTATTAGTTTTAATGGACATATTCCTAGCTAAAGAGACTCGATCAACAATCCGTATCAGACCACGTTCGAGTACTCTGTACTACATATCTACGACAACCAGCCAGTTCAGATTGAGTACACTTCAATACATCGACCTCATTCAAATTCACGTTTACACCCCTTCATTATTGACTTCTGGTTTTATTGGTTTCGGGATTACTTCGTAAGTAGTTCCAGCCAGTAGAGCTGTTTAAAAGTGTATACCACTGACCATTTTTACGATCATAAGTTTAAGCGAGTCAAGCCAAATGTGACATTGACATAACGAGTGATAAAATTAGCAAGATGTAAATAAGGAGTTTGGGAATATCTATTGCAGTGGGAAGCTAAACAATTTGAAATGCCATTAAAAAAACGAATAATATCAAAATATGAAAGATATGAAATAAGACTTAGCAGTAAAAGAAAGATGAAGAGTGAGTGTATCATATTGGTTTCGGTATTATTTGGTAAGAAGTTCGATACATCGACCTCATTCAAATTCACGTTTACACCCCTTCATTATTGACTTCTGGTTTTATTGGTTTCGGGATTACTTCGTAAGAAGTTCCAGCCAGTAGAGCTGTTTAAAAGTGTATACCACTGACCATTTTTACGATCATAAGTTTAAGCAAATCCGTAAATTCTTAGACCAGATAAATAAGATGGGTTTTTGTTCTTCATGTATTATACTTGTAGCTTTAAAAAATACTATGAACTTTAGTTCCTTAGACTGAAAATGTACTATATATATGATGTAAATTTCAGTCAAAGATAAACACTGCTCTTCGTCGACTTTTGACAGAGGAAAGTAAATGTTTTATCACGACTCCAGAAGATGATGTTACTAGAGGAAAATGCTGGAGTATTTAAAGAATTTTCTGAGGTATCCTAAATAATTGGCCATTAAAGATGTCGTCTTTATGATGCCCGTTTAAACTATATTCTAGTGTTCTGAAATTTTAGAGTTGGGATTGGAATTATTTCATTCCAGAAGCTGGTTCGAATAGGATGCTTGAGAAGTAGCTTATTTCCTGACAAAATGGATCTCCATAAGTAAGGTATGTTGTAACAGGTAGTTTGAGTAGTTTTCTTAGCTATGTACAAATTCTCAAAAAATTTCAAATATACTATAACGATTAAACTACTAGTTTCTTTGGAACACCTGGTCACAACTTGTAAGCCAAAGATAGCTTAAAAATGAAAATATTTATAGCCCACAAATACTAATGTGACCGCACAGGATAGTCCGTTTGTATTAATATTTACTTTACGGAAACAGTGATATGTTCACTTCTCAGGAGTTGAATAACTTTGATTTAACATTTTTTTAATTTAATGTGATTGAATGTAGTCTGGACCTCTTTAGTAAGATGTTTCTCCACTCTTGATGAAACTGATGTTCACTGTGGGGTTTAAACCCACATCACCTAGCTTCACAATCTGAAATCCCACCAGTGAGTTTTTCGGTCTGAGAATAACCTGTAGGGTTGAGCTATTTACATTGATTGATCACTTAGTGATAACCACTGTTATGTTTGTCCAGTTCTTAGGGATTGATTAAATAAGCAACGTTATTATTCGGTATTTATTCAATGAACTTATTATTTCTAAATCCGTTACACAGTAGTTTTCTAGTAGTAGAATGTTGAACTATATGAAATATGAAGTTAAACACAAACGAATGGTTTTACATAACTGAACTAAGAGGTAAAAATAATAAACAAAATTTTTTAATCATTTGTCAGTTAATATCTTACTATTAAGAGTTTTGATAAATGATTATGTCGAATTAGTTCACAGGCAATGTACAGCTCATTTAATTTACTTTGTAAAGGTCTATTTATACAGGAGAAAAGCATGACAACTGTTTGCGCTCATAAAAGGTAACAGTTTTGGAGTAATTCAATTTATTATATAATCTCATCTGAGTTATCTGGACACTGTTTACGGTTCTTTTTATGCAATCACCTGTTATTATTACTTATGACTAGATCTTATTTACGTTATATGGTTAGATTTTCTAAGTATAAATACCATTATATTAGATTATGATGTTTATTACTATAATCGTATCTTGTTTCGCTGATTTATTGTTAAAATTTGAATTTTTAACTCGATTTTTCATAATGTGGACATTTTGTTCTTTGATCGTTTTATAACGGTTGAAGCTGACGAAAAGCATTAAATCGAGAGTAACCAGTGTTTAGCTTTGACAAAATCAATTAAGAGCGATTATGAGTTTATATAATAAGACACAGGAATCATTTTGAAAGAGGGTTTTGCTAAGAATTAAGCACAGGAAAACTTTTTCGTTTGGATACAGGACTTCATAGATGTGTACATCCACCAGGTATCAAGCATACTCCGTTTAATTCCTGAAACGCAGTCGTCAAATTCAGATTATGAAGTTCCATTCTATCGGTTTACAATTCTAACTTCAACACTTCATGACATGAAGTAATAATAATCCAGCTTAATCAGCGATGACTGTTTTACTCTCAACATTGTGGTCAAAGTTATACATAGCTTAGGATCAACATGTTAGAAGTAAACAGGTACTCACTGTTCCATAGTTCGTAATGATACTTCTGTCAATATCAATTCTTGATAGAATTAAAACCCCTGAGTACCAAACTGACTCACAAATTTCCTAGCCAAACTATTTTCATTCAATGAAAGTAATATGTTATACTTATGGATCTGCTTAACCATTTCCCTATATTCATTATCAAATTATTAGCAATGAAAAGGTAAAATAATTCAATGCCATATAAATTTTTTATTGAATTATATTTAGAAAAATAGATGATAATTATATTGGTATTACATATGGAATCCTTCCACTGCTATAAATAATTAATATTATAAGAGAACAGACTATTAATATCAATAAAGTTAACTTAACAAAATCATATTTACTTCATAGTTTTATCAGTTCATTATTATAAATTAATTAAAAATAAATAATCATTTGATATAATCTAATCAAATCTTATTTATTAAATACTTGTTCTTCTAGTTCCATTTAATTTTGTAACAAATATATACATAGATTTATGTGGAGTACGTGTAATTCCAAAAGGTGTTAAACTTTCTTGATTTCCTGGACTAATTGTTTCAAATGGTGATTGAGTAATATTTTGAATAAGAAATTCTTGATTAATAGCTGTTAAAATTTGTTCAATTATTATAGTAGCTATACGAGCACCAGGACATGATCTAGAACCTTTATTCAAATAATAAATAAATAAATGAAACCAATGATATTAACAGTTTGAATTAAATCAAACCATAAATTGTTTTACGATTAGCATTTACATGAATATAATAATGTGGTGTATACTACTTATATTGACAGATATAAGTAATATGTAATACCAGTCAGAAGTGGGATGCCTGTAGTAGAAGTTTGAAAAAATTGACTTGAAGAGAATAGATAGGGAAACAGAGAGGAATTGAAGTGACAAACGAATTTGAAGATTGAAGAAGTATGTACAAGACAAGTGAAAGACAACGAACAAATAATGTATTTAATGTATGACTTTCATATTTTCTGAAAGCACTATGTAATTTGGCATTTAGTAATAAATTAGTCTTTTCCACCTGAGTTTTCGTTCACTACAAGATTACCTTTTTTCATTTATGACATATATGAAAACTCTCAATACAAAAGGATATCAGTAAATGCGTTTCTCAAAATGGAATGAAAATATTAAATGAAAATAGATATGAGAGAATTGTATTAATAAAATATAAAAAGTCTACATTATCAATGGGTATTATTCAAATAAGAATAAAACCAAAGTTGACTTCAGCCAGTTTGTTGGTACATCATAACACAAAAGTACGGAAGAATCATCAACATCTTTCTCGTCAAGCAGTGTTGAATGATAACATTGGCCATTACGTTCTAGCATATCTAACAGCTGCATACTAAATACAACTATCACTTTTTCGGTCACTGCATGTCAAAAATCGATTAACTTCTTGAAATTTTATGTTTAGTCTCAAAGAAAATGGCTATCAGTATGAATTCCACTGGGATAATATGTGTAAAACACATCCATGTCACATAAGTCGATGTTCTATGTTGCAAGCAGTTAATGAATCAGAATGTCTATCATGAATAAACAAGTCAATAGATCTTTTCATTCCTTCCACGAAGGCCAGAAACATAAAGCTGTCGACCATTCAACTCGTACCAATACTATTTTGTGTAGAACAACATTTCATATAACCATATTTTGACCCATCTCGTACTTCTTTTATTCAGAACAACATTTAATAGTCTTAAAGGTAACGCAGTTTGTAATGAGTCGCTTTGATTTTCACTATAGAAAAACTAGTCTCACATGTTGCGCTACAACCATCACACAACCGTCAAGATGCACAAACATGTTAATAATTCCTGACAGATCATCGTAAAGCTCTGCTTCAGTACATCTTTCTCTTAACTAATTAGAAGTAATTTACATTTTGGTGTAAACAAGTATCATATATATGATATGTGGTTGTCAGGAGACTATGTACACTTTCAATGGCCTCTATGATATCCTTCGGTCAAACGATGTCACCGACGTGATCAGGGTTAAAGTTTTTAAGACAAAAAGTTTATGCCACCACACTTTGTTTATAATATAGTCTATATCATAGTCAAAATGTAATAATGATATTGGGTTATCCTGTGTCCCAATATCTTTTTAAAGAACAGTAATTAGTAACGTAACCTAATTAAGTCTAAGCATCTTGGATTTATTTTTGATTTCATTTTTAAATTTGAATCCAACGTTATCATTTTAAATAATTTAACCAACAAATGTTGCGATGTATCTTTAGGTTGATCCACCATTTTTATATGGTATTAATTTCATACTTAACTGTAAACTTTTATATTAGTGAAGAGCCATAAAGAAGTGGTAGGACAATTTAGGAAAAGTTGTCCCAGAAGTGAACCAAATAAGTTCTCTTTCTATGTTGCATGGCCGGTATGGTAACAGATATGGTTTTCGCATCACAGACTTTCCCAAACGTCCGCAGAATTTTCATTGTTATAAGATTCTACGGTTTGGTAAAGCACGCAATTATCGCCATATATGATTTACCTTGGTTTCTCGTTCCCATAGCCATGATTAGTTATTTTTATACAGATTTTAGAAATTCTTCTTATGGCTTACTGAAGCCACGTACTTGCAAACAAGACTTAAATTTGCCTGGCAATTGCATGGTATCCTGCCAGGGCGGCCAACGTTCATTGTGCTTTTTGGTGGGTCAACAACCAGATTAAAATCTATTTTCATTCGGCATTTGATTGCCTTATCAATCTAAATAATGTGTTTAGATTAATATGTTAAGTATGAATGATTTGTTAACTAGTGAAATGCAAAATGATTTTAGCGCATACCACTCCATGATCGGAATCTAGTTAAGCACTCCAAATACGTGGGAATCATGTAAAAAGCCGAGCCATAGTTAATGGCTTCCTGTATGGTATATTTGAGTCTATACTTGGATTTGTAAATAGGGAAATTCATGAGAACCATACAAAAAGACAGTTACTATATTAGAAAGTGTGACATTAATTTGTGACTAATGCAGCGGTGCCGAAAAGTCTGTTAATGACCCAACCTACAACCGAACTTCCTATTAACCACTTAAATGACTTTAGACTGCGCTTAGAAATCTGAATTATACATTTGAAGTCTTCAGCTATCCCCACAAAATCTGTAGAACGCGATTATTTTAAAACATAGTTAATTTCCTGTTAGAGATACATCTTGAATCCATGTATCATTCGATTGATTGGAGAGTATATAAAGAAAATGGACATCATACATTCTTTCAATTTAATCCAACTTTGATAGAATATTCTGTGTTCATATAAAAAAATTAATAAAGATTACAGGAAATAATCGCTTCTTTGACAGTGTGTTTAGTAGTGACACCGGGATAATAGTAGCCAGGTTTATGAATGTGTTGCACTCAATAATTGAAGTGTTTTGATTGATCACTAATCCTTAGCTTTAAAATAAATTTCGAAAGTTTTTTTAATAATTATCTAAATTACAGGAGAGAATATTTTCGGAGATTTAAAAACCTCTTAACAAGTATTTCAAATATGGATTTATAAAAATATCTCATATTACTTACCAAGTGAAAATGGTATTGGCTTATCACTTTCTTGGATTTCATCCGATTTTTGTCCAGTATTAATCAATTTTTTTAACTGACTATTATGTACAGCATAAAGATTATATATTAAAATTGATGATTTCGGTATATAATAATTTTTGAGCTTAAAAGATTCACGTACTATATGAGGTAATGATAGAGGAACTACACTAGCCCAACGATGAATCATATCAATAACGTCTGAGCTTAGTTTCAATGATTCTTTCGGTGGAGCTCTTGCTAGATAATCACATGCCCATGTTAATGTTAAAGAAGTAGTATCAGTACCAGCAGCCATAAATTCAAATGAAAGACGTGAAATATCATTTTCTAATCAAAACAAAAATAGAAACAACAAAAGTTACGTGTTGTTTGTTTCAAATTAATTTTTATAGATAGTATGAAACCAGAAAAGCAATATCCCATAAATTTAATGGTATTGGATTATGTGCTACTTATGTGGACATAAGTAGTATATAACGCCAAGTAGAAATAAAATGTCTGACATCAGAGCGCTGAGAAGATCGGATACACGAGAATGGGAACAGAGAGTAACTGGTATAAAAATGAAGGAATAATAAAGTCTGAGATAATTAGTGAACATTTTGTAAATAGGGGATTGAACGCATGATTTTCACATTTTACCAAAAAACTCTGTAATGTTGCGTTACAATACAGTCGGTTGACCCCACCTGTGTTCTTGTTCATAACAGTACCACTAACCATTTTAAAATATTGACATGATAAAAACTAGTTTTTCAGTGAATCTGACTGATCAATATTTCTTTGATTTCAAACGGATTTGATATTCAACGACTAATTACTAAACTCTGTATCCATTTCATTAATGTATCGGTGTTATTATAAACAAAACTACTGAAACATAGTACAGACACTTAAGTTTCCTGTAAACAAGAAAACCATAAATTATATCACTTAATGAACAATTGCTTCATTATAAAATCTGTGATTTATTTAAGAGGTGAATAAACGGTTAGAATTTATTCGAGATAGATTAAAATCAATTAATTTTAAGGTAAATCCAATGAAAATCACATTCTATATATAAACCCTGAAATAGATTTTAATAAATGTCAAACAAGAAAGTTGATAGTGTTATATTTAACAAGTAACTTAATAAAAAAACAAATAAAACTCACATGGAACAAATATTCTATGGACCGAATCCTATCATTTAAAAGCTAGCTGTTAGAAATGTTCTGTTTGTTAGACAAATAAGGTATTCAGAATTTACTAGGTAAAACTGAACTGTAAATCTGTAAATTATGTGGTACCATAAGACGTAAATGGTTACTAATATTACTATTGCTACTACTACTACTACTACTACTACTACTAATAATAATAATAATAATAATAATAATAATAATAATAATACAGTGATGTATGCTACTTATGTTGACAGATGTATGTAGTATGCAGCACCAATCGGATGTGGAATGCATGCCAGTAGAGGATTGAGAAGATAAATTTGAAGAAAACAGAAAGGAGTTATAATAGCAACGAAATTGAGAGAATTGTGAAGCACGTAAAGGACAATGAATGGGAGATGTACAAATTGTATTTAATGTATGGTTTTTTATATTTTATGAAAGTACTCTGTAATTTTTGCATATAAAAATAAATTAGTCCTCGCCACTTCATTTCTTTGTTCATGACACTATTATTAAAATATCTTTATAAATCCTACATAATTAGGATGTGCAAGGATTAGGTTAACAACTATATCTTATTTGAACTCAGTAAATATCATACAAATAAACTTACTAGTTAAATTCAATTTTGAATCATTGATTAATTGACCAAATAATGAGTCCGAATTATGTGTTTCGCCTACATTACTATCAATTAATTGTCGTACAGTCTTGTGTTTCTGTAATATTCCTTCAATTTCGAATAATTTTCTAGCGAATTGAGAATGTTTAAAAATATTCACACTGAAGTAAAGAATTGGTATGCAAAGTGAAAATGATTACTTTTAAATATTTTAACTTAAATAATAATGTAATGTAGTTAAACGGCATTTAGTCATCACTTGTAGAATGTCTAGTATATGTTTAATTCCCAGCTCACTATACTATCTAGATGTTATCGATGAATGTTAGACTACCATTGAAGACCTGGAAGCACTGTATGGCCGTCTCATCCTAGTATGTGACACCTCAGCAACATGTATCCACGATCCCACACTCCGGATTCGAACCCAAAACCTTTGGTTGCTTGTGAGAACGCTTAATTTCTAGATCACTGAGCCGGCATCCAACGGTGTTAATGTCTAACTTTAAACAATCCATAAAACTATTTCTTGTTATTTGCTCGTTAAATTTAAAAAGAAAATCAATTTTTAGTACATAGATTCTTAACCATTAAAGTTATTGACCATTCGATTAAGTAAATCTTTAGATGTAAAGGCTTATTTAGTTCGACCACCTGTACACTACTTACAGATATTAAATGATTTGGCCAATAATCAATCTCAGTGGAGTAGATATTTTGATCATATATTTTCCTTTAGACTGTTATTTTTTTTAATATTTCATATTCATTATTTTAATCCAATTTCTTTTTGAAATATGTTTTTCATATATATCTTTCTTCTAAAGTCAATATTTCCATTCTTTTGCTCATCATTCGCTTAATTTCTTTTATTGCTGTATTATTATTTATTATGTGAACACATAAATATTGGTACAAGGAAGCACCAAATACATATGCGCCACACGAATCTCATTTGATTTGTGAGAGTGATGTGATACTGCTCGGGTGCCCAAACCGGAGCAGGTGGTTTTATTTTGGAGGACCACACCCGAGCCTTCGACCTAAAGGTCTGATCCACAAGGCAGTGGAGCAACGTCAGGAGATGCAGTCTCATGGTAGCCGCTGACCAACGATTGGTTCATATGCCATTTGTTACCTCGGGATACTGGAGCCCATGTGCACCATTGGTTTGGAATCAGGGTTTTCCAACTCCCCTACGTGGACTCTCCGTGTCCACCAAACCGGTTAAAGCTCCGGACATTCGCGTTTCGTCCTCTCAATTCCGTAATTAACACCCTCGCCACAAGAAGGCAATAAGTAGGACTTTTCTGGCAATGGCTGTATACGCGTGGCCATGTGAGAGCATTTCAAGAAGGAAAGCAGACTCTCCCCACTCTCGGCCGTACCAGGGCGTTCGGGGGCTTTGATTATATGAAGTTTAATATTTCGGAAAGAACCATGTTCTTAATAGATCCTGCATTATTATCATGTTGATTCGAAAGTGTTAAATATTCCATTGTTATAATTTAAAGTTCATTTTAGTTTTTAAACAATTTTTCATATGCATTAAGTTTAAAATTTAAGACATGTAATATTGACTGTACTTAACAGAATGAACTAGGAACTTACCAAAATCTAGGTAATAGTTGTCTTGTTTGAAAAAGTTGGTTTTGTAAATTATTCGATGAAATATCATCTAAAGTATTGGAAATTTGTTTGTCAGTTAACTGACACTCTTTTCCAAAAACTAAGTTCCAAATAATCCTCCAAACTGTGCATCTCATCAATTGTCTAGAAGAAAAGAAAACATGATTAATCATTATTCAATGATTTTCAAATGATAAGTTAAGAAAGAATGAGTGTTCTTTAAAAGTGAATAATTTGCATTGTGTTTTTAGTCATAATTAAAATGTTAGTCTTAATGTTTTCAAAATCTCTAAACCTACCGGTTTTGTGTTGAATAACCTGTTAGTTTGCGCTTAAAGTTTCTAATTACTTTATTGCAAACGAACTCTGCCGAAGCAAGTTTTCATCAGCCAGCTATTTTCTATAAACTGTTAGATTATCTAATTCCCTTTGTGAAGTCTTATACCGGTTATTCTGTAAGATTTGTGTATTATAACGTACTACTCATGAGTAATTAGTCTTTTAATTGTATGATCTTGATAGTATTCGATTGGTTAATTGGAAATTAACTGTTTTTTATTGGTTCGATCATTTTCTTTTCTTTCTGGCTACGTTGAGCTGGTCACTTTTGTGTTTTTCTGTTTTGAGAGTAGACAGCTGTTGTTGAGTTCATCACCTTAAATATATACGCTAATTGTACAACCACTTATTATTTAAACACACTCACATATAAATATTCTATGGAGCCACGATAGTCTTTTGACTTAAAATGACATCGGGTGCTTTATTTTGATTAATCTGACACATTTGAAAAAACCATATTCTCTCAGAGAGTTGAAATTGTATTACCACATCCTCTCCAAAAACTCCTGATGATAACCATGTATCGTTATCGTTACTATTCAAACGAGATAAGTAAGAATTAGATTCATTGCTGATCTGTGAATAAGAACTTTTTTATTAAGATCAAATGATATACTTGCAAACTAAACTTAATTGATTACTTCTCTATGAATAATCTTTACGGTAGCAAACAATTTAAAATAACTGTTTTTCAGTGCGGCGGTAAAATATATACAAAAAGACACACTCGTTCACAAGTAATAAGATTTGTGTAGTTGTCCATATTTATATATAATATCTACTACATGGGGCTTCATCATGAATTCTGCTGACTTTGATAGGAATGTGTGAACAATTATTATTAATGATATATAAATAAGAAGGATAATGAAGAACTACTTTTGAGAATTTTATTTGAGATAATCTCAGAGATTGAAATTTGAATAATTCCAAAGCTTCGTTCAGCAAACTTGTGTGGACATCTTCAAGGTAATGATGAACAATTAAAATTACCAAATAAATTTTAATTGCTGAGATTATTTCAAATCTAATTTTCACAAATAATGTCTTCTCCGTACTCGGCATCCAATTTCTGTTACACTATTCGTTCTAATACTGACGAATATTCGTATAAATAAAGGACATTTTAAATCTTGTTCGGTGTCCAAATTTCATATAATAAGTCTGATTTCAATTTAGTGTATTTTATATTATGCTACTACGTAAACTCCCTCTCGTTAATAATCGAGTATTTTTTGAGAATTTTAAATTAACGGTCATTCAATTTTCTCAGCGCTTACTCACACTTTCGCTTGAACCACTATTTACTTACGCTTGTTATCCCTCGTGGAGAAGCACAAGCCACCCACCAGCATTCTCCATCCAACTCTGTCCTGACCAATCCTTTCAAGTTATTTCCAGTCGCTATTCATTATCTTGATGTCTATTTTCATTTATCGGCACAATGTGCTCCTAGGTCCTCCTTTTACCTTCAGAATTTCTAGTTAGCGCTTAACTTCTGACGCAGTTTGATGATTTCCGTAATGTATGTCCTATCCACTTCCATCATCTATTCGCAATTTCCTCTTGATCCGGAAGCTGGCTTGTTCTCTTCCAAAGTTTGCTGTTGCTAATGGTATCCGGTAAACGAACATGGAGTATCTTGCGTAGGTAAATGTTTATAAATACTTGTACATTTTTGATGATGGTTGTAGTAGTTCTCGAAGTTTCAGCTTCTTACATTAGAACTGTATCGACATCCATAATGAAGATTCCGACTTTGTTATTGGTTTGGATCATAAGTTTATTTAATTCCTAATTTATTCATCTCCCTTCATTGAATGTACTGTTCCATTACCTTTTTAATCTGGATGATTTTTAATTTAGTTCAATCTAACCTAACCCGTTGTTTACAAGTAAAAGAATGGTTTGTCATTTAAGAATGAATTCTATTCAAGATTCAGTTTATTAGAACTTGTTTCAAATACTTCCAGTAACATTTGTTTGGTATTTAAGTAATGTGCCTCATAGTGTGAATTGAAGAATAATACACGATAGCACCTATTTGCGTGACTGAATCCATAATCTACAAGTGAGAAACGGTTCCATTTTAGTACAACTTAATTGGTTTGTGTAACGTCAACATCTAAGTTTAAAACATGTAGATCCAAGCTTTTCAGAAGTGAAAATTGCAAACCCCTGAATAATCTCAAACTGAGTCGTAATAACTTATTTTAAGTGTAACTGTTTAAACGATATTTCTTAGTGAAAATGATATTTGACTACTTACAAAACATTGACAGGTTTTCCTTGTCTTATTCTCAACTGTCGAATCAATTCATTTATTTGAGCGTTGATTATATTCTGCGATATAATTGGGTGCAATTTAGTACCTTCGTGTTCTTCAGCTGTTTTTATATTATTATGTACAAGACGTACAAGAGCCCTTCTTATTTCCAGTGCCTTTGGTGTGTCGTAATTTGAAATACCTGTAGAAAGGAATGAAACATACAATTCGAAAGTTATTAGAGCGGAATTCCAGAATAAGATGAATTCATTATGTCTGTAGTTTGTATTAGGTATACTGGATCTGTTAAAAATATATCTTATTCATAGTAAACAACTATACTTGTCTGTCGATCGTTTATACGCAGTCATAACATTCTTAAAAAATATCATTGTCAATTATCAAGGAATTTGAACAATAGAAATTAGCGAGTCAAGCCACATGTGACATTGACATAACGAGTGATAAAATTAGCAAGATGTAAATAAGGAGTTTGGGAATATCTATTGCAGTGGGAAGCTAAACAATTTGAAATGCCATTAAAAAAACGAATAATATCAAAATATGAAAGATATGAAATAAGACTTAGCAGTAAAAGAAAGATGAAGAGTGAGTGTATCATATTGGTTTCGGTATTATTTGGTAAGAAGTTCGATACATCGACCTCATTCAAATTCACGTTTACACCCCTTCATTATTGACTTCTGGTTTTATTGGTTTCGGGATTACTTCGTAAGAAGTTCCAGCCAGTAGAGCTGTTTAAAAGTGTATACCACTGACCATTTTTACGATCATAAGTTTAAGCAAATCCGTAAATTCTTAGACCAGATAAATAAGATGGGTTTTTGTTCTTCATGTATTATACTTGTAGCTTTAAAAAATACTATGAACTTTAGTTCCTTAGACTGAAAATGTACTATATATATGATGTAAATTTCAGTCAAAGATAAACACTGCTCTTCGTCGACTTTTGACAGAGGAAAGTAAATGTTTTATCACGACTCCAGAAGACGATGTTACTAGAGGAAAATGCTGGAGTATTTAAAGAATTTTCTGAGGTATCCTAAATAATTGGCCATTAAAGATGTCGTCTTTATGATGCCCGTTTAAACTATATTCTAGTGTTCTGAAATTTTAGAGTTGGGATTGGAATTATTTCATTCCAGAAGCTGGTTCGAATAGGATGCTTGAGAAGTAGCTTATTTCCTGACAAAATGGATCTCCATAAGTAAGGTATGTTGTAACAGGTAGTTTGAGTAGTTTTCTTAGCTATGTACATATCATATCACTGAATATCTCTAACTACAGATTATAATTTAGGAGTCGAGCTTAACACTTTCCCTTTCAAACACATATACGCTATCCACTTAGCTGATCATCTAAGATAGCCACCAACATGTTCGGTGAGTATGGCGTTAACGTTGTGGATAATAAAGCTTTGAATTATACTGTCATTGATATTCAGGAATGAATTTGGTCGATCTTTATTAGTGTATGTGGATCCTATTTTATTTGCCTTGATATATCCCCATATGATACACACAAGCCAATAAAGACTAGTCAACATTCAACCCTAAATATAAACAACAGGATAACTCAAACCCTAACTAATAATGATGTAATCATGACAATGTTTTTATTGAAAAGTTATGAATCTGTCAGCATTAATAACCAAAAAATATTTTCTCATTCACATTTTGTTAGTTATACTATATAATATAACAAAACGGACAACATAGTTATTCAGAGTAGTTCACCTGAATTTTCTGCCAATAAATCATTTACAGTCATTGTATATCGTCCAACTTTCGAACGATTCTCATTTGCTGCTTCATTTATTAAATCATAGTTATACAATATGATTATTGTTTTTCCCAAAACTTGAAATGATACAATATCACCATAAATTTTATTTAAATGCTGAATTTTACGAAAAACATCAGTACCTATCAAATAAGAATAGAATGGGTTATATTTTTATGTAAAATAATAGACCTAGTTTTTAAAAAAAATCATTTAGCATTAGGAGTTTTTTTATGATGAAGTAGTGTACAACTAGCGGATTAATGAGCATTAGTACGATTGATCTGTCTGAGATTAAAACATTCACAGAAGGTAAAGAACACCAATTTCAAATAGAATTATCATTACAAAATTTTCAAAAATGGTAAAAGAATATTTCTGTTAACTATTATTTATTAATTTCATAAAATAGATTTGATTGTTTGAATGGTATTCAACAGTTCAATTCGATGTTAATGAAGATATCAAATTAAGTTTACCATATCTTGATGTTTACTAATAAAAGGTATTGAAAGCATCAAGGGAATGCCTATGAATTTATTGATCATTGGACATTTCTCCAATCTAAATTAAGTCTCATCTCTGAATAAAAATGTGGATTCATAAAATTGGAAATAATCAGTTATACAACTTGGCAAAATTATTTCCAAGTTCATTTGTCACCACGTTTTTCATTATTTCATATAAATTTTTAGCCTAGTCACATAGTAACATTAGTTATATTGTATTGAAGTGATCATATGCGTTTCTTGAGGATTCCAGTAGCTACGACCATAGCTGTAATCTGAGTTACAGCATAAAAAGTAGTTCGGTTATATTTTGAAATAACTGAAGTTAGATATATGCGCCATCATATTTACCAGAAAAACTAGAATGTCCTAGGTCGAATCCCATGTCATAAATAAGTATCCACAATTGACGAGTTTGAAATTATAACTCCCTTGTTGGAATCCAAAAATCCTGTGGTTTTTTTTAGCTCAGTTTATAATTCAAAAACCACACTCATTTATTAACTTATAAATCTAATTTTCTATTAAGCAAAAAGTCTAATCATGAGTAATAAGAGTCATTCGACAACAATCTGATAAACACGAGTCAACTGATAATTAAATTTTAATTACGTTTGAATTAGCAAACATTTATGATGTGAACAGAGAAACAAAGAATCCATGACAAACAACTGGAGCTATTTTTAGGAACGTTATTTCAATTCAAATTTTGTAAAACACTAACATTTATTTTTACCCCTAGTTTATTTTACAAGCCATAAGTTTTCGTTCGATGCACGGTTCACTGCCGTATATTTTTCCATTCCAAAGCTATTGTAATTTGAACGTAACCTTTAGTACTAGATTTTTCTACCCTGATGCCTAGTTTTGGACCTAATTGTGTTTTATAATTGTTTGTGAGTTTTGGTCGAATTAGTCACCTATTTATTCATGTATCTTTTGCACTAATCTGAATCGTAACAGAATCGGAGGGCGAGACTCTAATTTAGGGACGACCTTTGAACGAATTTTGAGTGACCTTGAGAATAATAGCCAATCACAAGACACCTAGTATAACGTAGAAATATATTAGAAGAAACTAATGGATTACAGTGAATATACTTATTTAACGTGATTTAAAAACTTATCAAGGTTTGCTAAAGTTTCAGATGTTTTGAAATCATATTGCATACGGTATAAAAAGTCATAAATTCCAAGTACCTGTCGAGTATATTTACGGAAATGCTACTTACACAATCCTACTTTATACTACGTCCCCTGTTGTATTTTCGCTTTCTCACTGCCGTTTTATCTGTCTGCATGATACATCCTACTCCTCCGAATGATTGGTGTACAAGTGTTATTTTAGTTGCACGGCAGTGCTCATACCACTGGACTGCTGAATTTTCATAAACAACTGCAAACGCCGCAGCCAGTGTTACTGGCTGCAACTATTATCATAATCTGATTCAGTTTCAGTAGCAATTGAGCAGAGAAAGTCCCCGTTCTAGCAGACTTTCTCCTCCAACCTGAAGGACAACGAAATATAATCTCACCACGGTTATTTGCACACTTTACTGCAGTCATTTGATAACCGCAGTCTCACGTACAAGAACTTTTTAGTAATCCTATCCCTTGTAGCCTCTCAATAATCATCCCTTTTCTAAAATCCGCTGAAAACCGATCATATGTGAGCATCAGGTGTTAAACTTGGCTCTGTGACCTTTAAACGGCTCAGACGCTTCTGATTGGCTCGTCCCTAAATTAGAGTCTCGCCAATCGGAGTGTGAATCGGGATTAGGAATAAATCGGGTGGTGATTCAGTTGACTCGTCTTCTCTCTCTCTTGTCAACCAATCATGTGGTGTAAAATATTTTTGTCTCTACCCAAAGCAGTTGGTCTCACTTCAAACTCACGCTATTCTAGCCTCAAGGTTGAACAGTCATCTTATCGTGTCAAGGCTTTAATATAGATTGGGACGAGTTATCTAATGTATGTTAGTGGTAGACAGGTCAAGGAAGTAACAATATAACTAAGATATTTTCTGAACAAGAAATACATCCACCAGAATTAAAAATACTCTCTCAATAAATATCTAATAGCTGAAATGATAACTAGCAATGCAACAATGCTAATAATAACAATGATCAATGTATTTTAAACCCTACTCTATCTACTATAAATTATTGTACATTGTTTCTATTACATGTTTATTGAATCATCGGGTTGCATCTTCCCCTGTATTTCCTTTTTTCCCATGAACTTAAACATACGGACTCTCATCCGTAGCCCTCCCGACAAAGCATAAATTATCAATGGCTGAACGTTACAGATTAATCATGCAAAAAAAAACATTTATTTCTGTGTAAAATAGCTTAATTGAACAGTAATTTCTTAATTGTTAATTCTGGTTAGCAGTTTCACAGTCTCCATTCAATAAATTTTGTTTATTTGCATACATTATAAGTTAAATTCATGTGACTTAATCCTCTGATACAGTTTGATGATCATCATATGGTGTTAAGTATAAAATGTAGATAATAAAATGATTACTTGGGTACAATATATATTTGTACGCAATCTAGCCCAAATAATGAACACTTGTTTATTTGCCTTGAAAATACTTTCTAGATAAATGAAATATTGTATACAGGACTGTAAAGGTCAATATATGATTTCAGTAAACATTAGTACTTACTAATTCATATGATTGTGTCATTTAAGTGTTATGTAGTGAATGACTTCCATGGAATGTAAATGGAAAACTTCAGTTTCAACCTATACAATTATTAAATTTAGTTAACCAGTTTTCGTTGATTTATGAAGTCCTTACAAGAATGTACATGTACATATTGTTCAGATAATCTTAACGAAGGTAAATCAACAGTATTGACGGAACAATTTAAATCTAACACCCTTGTAATTCATAGTTTTTATTCTATTATAAGTTTAATCTGCACACACTGTGTGACTTTCCAAATAATTTAAATGAATTCCTTTTGAAAATATTCAACAATTTACTTACATACTGATAACACTATGGATTATTAGCTCAAGATTGAAAGATTTGATGATAAAAATTAGAATCAGAACATTTATTAGGTGTAAGCTGTTGTGAATACTTGTTTATGCAAAAATATAAATGGACAATGAATATAGTTCTTAGAACAAAATAAGTCTTAAACTCATTTTTATGTTGATTGTTTGGATTTTCTCTGGTTAAAATTAGCTTTTATCTGAAATGTTGAATGAAATCCGTGATATCAAAATAAATAAATAAAATTTTGTTCACACATTTCATGTATTTGGAAAAACTCTAAGGGAATATTAGAGTCGTATGCATAAATATTACAAACTAGAGCTAATCTGATAAATTGTAATCCAGGTGATCAGGTTTTAGAAGATAAAATTTATTGATGATATTCACTTACCTAAACAAGATATATATCCAATTAAAGGCCAACTGATTGGTCCAGGTGGTAATTTTGTTGAGCTTTGGATGTACAACAGATAGATGATAATAAAGCTAAGCATTAAAGCTATAGTCGAAAATAGAATTGTCCACATGGATATAATTTATTCACAAAATGAATTGAAAATAGTCTGTAATTAACAAAGAGAAGAAATAAACATTTATGATCGTTTTAGTATTTAGTGATTTATAGTGAGAAATTTTCTTTCCCTACTTATACTTCATTAATTACAAATCCAACAACTCAAGTACTTACTGTTTATTTGAAACCAATCGCTACACAGTATGATATATTGATTCTTTTCCAAAGCTGCTAATCACAAAACTAGGTAGATCAAATGAATAGCTCAGAGCTACTCTGTAGTGTTCAAACTTTAAAACTTATGTAAGTATACATATGAAATACAAGACCAATCTGAACATCTGGTTCATGATTAATTGATGGTAACTTATTAGAAGGAAAATACACGACAATAGTTAATCAGTCACATGGAATCCTACAGTTAGGAGAATATGAAAATACCATAACGCAATACGTTAGTAAATAACTATTAAGAGGAGTGGCCCGATATCTGATTCTAGTAATATCATATGATTGATTGTTATTGAAATATACATATCGTCAATCCTAGTATATAATCATTGACGTAAATCGCGTCAGTGAATAATGGAATAAAATAAGTCGAATACGAGAATAAATGTTTGAATATGTATATTTTGTACAATCGTTAGTCGGAAAGCGAAGCAAAAAAAGATGACACGGACTAGGTGAGTGAGCCAACTCAATTTAATCAAGCTTTAATTGATATTTATAGTCACACAAAAAGAAGTTACAGACATGTGACGAGTAAGATAAGTAATGCACACACACGTTCATATAAAAACAGTCAAGGTTAATTTTTGCTAAAAGGATTTGTTACTGTAATCATATGTATTATATTAAACAAAGCAGTTATTATTATTAAAGTTTAAGCTCAGGACTTCCTGGTTTACATTTCTTCTAATTAATTATAATCAAACACAATGTAACGTGTAGTCAAATTGACCAAATTAATGTTCTATACTCTAAAATTTCTTAACCAAGTGTTATCTATATTGAAGAGTGAATAGTATTATTTAGGATATACTGCATAGGTAAGTCAGAACTCTTAATCTTGGTAACTAATGGGATTTACTGACAATATCGATTTAACATTAGATGTTTAAGTACATTTTAACATGCCGTTTTCCTTAAAACTAATCATGTGTTATTTCTAAATGTTTAAAATTTACAACCAGATCAAAAGAAGTTCATCACAATTTAAATTTAGCTAATAACTTTAGTTCCGACAAAATTATGTAACAAGACTCCGTATTAATTTAGTTAGAAGTATGTCAAATACAAATTTTCTATCATAATCTGATTACTTCAAGTATTCAAATAAAAAAGTTTCTGTCTATGTAAATATAGAAGAGATAAATTTTACTGTTCGATACACACATACTTCTAACTTCAGTCAGTTCACTATATCATGTGACTATCATCCATTTTTATCAAGGATACCTGTCTTACGCTGGATATAGTTGAACTTTATTGATCATTACTTCTTATTAGAACTTAAGAAATCTCTTCTCACAGTCAGTCATTAGTGCATACATGATTTACCTGACTATAGATAACTTTTGTATACTAATCAGTCTTTAGAACGAAATGTATGTCAAGTGTTTTCTTAGTCTTTGATGATTTTCTTGATGAAGTCACATTTTACAATATATTACAAACTGAAAACCTACAGAACTAAAATCTATTCTAATATGGCTGACTACTAATGAATATGATTAAGAAAAGAAAGTGTAAATAATATACAGTTGTAGAAAGATATAAATAAAATCATGATAATTCTATTAAAAGAAAGTCTTTTTCTCAGAATTCATTTTATGTTACAATCCAGCGAACTTCTGTTCTAAACACAACTCCTAAGAATTGTTTAAAATAAAAGTCTGTATACAGTTATTATTAGGTTTATAATTGTTTAGAATTATGAGAAAAAAAAGTTAAGTAACTATAGTATATAGTAAATAAATTCTTTCATAAATGATTGTCATTAAATAGTAAACAAGTACGACGTTACTTCTTTATTAATCTCAGTGGATTAGAAATAGATGTTGTTCGATTAAGATTTTGAAACTGTTTTATGAATTGCTTACTTCATATAGGTTATAGATCGTAGAACTTTGTTGAAATAAAACAATGATTTATATGGATAGATTGATAAAGTACCAATCACAAGATAATGAACCTAATTTAATGATTTTTTAGTGGTACAGTTGTCAACTTGTTTTCTAATCAGTTAATTAAAAGGAATTAACCTTATCTACTTCTGGTAATTTTCAAGTCGATATAAAACAAACATCAACCATTGACTGATTTTCAAAAGGTTACGAATTCTTATCTAATCAATGAAATTATATGTTTAACATTAAGGGACATTACAAACAAGGTATAAAGGCTGTAAGTGACCCCCGGTTAGATTAAAATATTTAAAGTGGTTATTCACTTGATAGTAAATAATATCATGTTAGCCTACCCGGTAACGACATCAAAACCATAGTCATTTAGACTAGTGGACAAACTAGAATTTGATCAGTACTAAGGACTAGATAAATATGCAGTTAGTTACCACTCGAAGTTTAGTGTAAATACAGCTACACTAAAAATTATCCATTTTAAACTGATTATCATTGCAGTAAATTGGTTAAACAAATGGCACCGAGCTTTGATATATTTTAGGTTTAAAAAGCATTCATAGCAAATTGCAACATAATCTGTTCTTATATTAGAAATGATATCGAATTTACCTTGTAGTCTAATCATAGCTTCTTAAGTCGTAACGCAACGATTGACTTACCCTAAATTATCGAAGATGATGTGTATGAGGAGAAAAATTTAGGTCAAATAAGCATCCGTAATAAACCGAGAATACAATAATTTAATTTATGGCTCGTGACTACTCACATATAACCATTGGTTCGTAATATTGAACAAATTGAGAGATTGTTTAATGTGATACTTTACCAATATAAAGGTCAAATATCCAACTGTACAAACATACAAACACGACCAATCATATTCAACCAAGTGGATATGTCCAATAACCAAGTGACAAAAGCGATATGCCCTAATTTGCGACTGATCATAGAAATATAACAATTTAAAATTATTGAGGTTTTGAGCTAGGATTCATCATAACCTTGAAATCAAGATACATTGACTAGTTTACTAGAATTCTATTGTTGATCCAATGACGTGTAGTTACTCGTTTTGTTTTTCCATTACATACATCTTTAACATTACTTTAAAACGTGTATGGCTTCTTTATGATTATCTGCGATTGTTGCAACCAATCAATTGTTTTACAGACCACAGTTAATTTCAATCTGTGCAAACTCAAAAATTAGCCCATCTCTTTTGCTAGCAAGTATATTCCTGGTATAGATTTCTTTGACTTGATAGTTTCAATAGATAAGTTTTGTAGTGTAAAGTTAAGTGTAATCGACTTCTAAATTGGATACTTTATACATACGTATATCATAACGGGGAATTGTGGAGATTGTAGTAATTTTAACTGTTGAATTCATGAGTCAATCTAAGTTAGACTATTATTGAAAACCTGCAAGCACTGGATGGTCGTCTCGTTATAGTATGGGACACCTTGGCAACGTGCATCCCGCGCCAACAGTACTCGAACCCAGGATCTTCGGTCTTGTGGGCGAACGATTAACCTCTAGACCACTGAGCCGGCATCCAACAGTGTTAATGTCTGACTTCAATAGATTCATGAATGGTCGCGCAAGCATTCATCCATTGTTTGAGGTGGATACCTGTCTTTACCCGATACGGATTGGACTAAACTGTTCACGGCTTCTCATTAGAACTTTAGGAAATCATCTTGAAGCCAGTCACTAGTGAGAACATGATAATTATGAACGGAATGGGTTTTGTGGAGATTGTAATAAATTTAATAGGTGAATTCATGAGTCAATGTAAGCTAGACTACCATTTAAAACCTGAAAGCACTAGACATCGAAACTGTTGGATACCGGCTAAGCGTTCACGCGCAGACCGAAGTTCCTGGGTTCGAGTCCTTATGGTGCGGGATCGTGGATGGGCGTTGCTGAGATGTCCCATACTAGGAAGAAACGACCGTCAGGTGCTGGAAGGTTTTAAATTGTGGTTTAGCTTAGATCGACTCGTAAATTCAACAGTTAAAATTACTACAATCTCCACAAAACGCATTCTGATTTGAATTTGTCCGTTCGTAGATTTCTTGGAGAATCTGTATTAATAAATGAACAAAACCAGTAAACTTCTTAAGATTTATGAATAAATATTGATCTGACATATGCAAGATAAAACTTCTTCACTGTAAATGAGCTTTGGTAAACAGTGTCTAGAATCAAATGCTCCGTCTAAAGTTAAACTAATAATACTATGAGTCTACACTCTATAAACCTGGATTTTTACTTCTCGTGTGGTTTTTTTATAATCAGAAATACAGTTCTAATGTAACAAAAACACCAATAAATTTATCCAAATATTTGTGAAGTGTGATTAGACCAGCAGAAATATTTTGTTTTAGTATTATTAATTCTCAAAGATTATTCATTATTATTATTAGTACATTTTAGAATTCCATATTGGTCCAAATCAAGATCTGTTTAATGATTTTAACGTAATTCACTTCCTAAATTACGTAATGAGGTGAATTGCCGAGGTGAATAAGATCCTCGGAACATGCATACATCATCAATATATAACAAAACCGATGGTGACAGAAGACGAGGAAGGTAATTTACATACAGTAGGAACAGTACTGGCCCAAAAACAGTACTTTGAGGCACTCCGCTAAGTACAGTTTCCCAGCTAGACAACTTTGAGTTCGTCTAAACTCTTTGTTGACGCCAAACTAGAAAACTCTGCATCCATTTAAGTACGCTGCCTCAAATCCCGATATTGTGGAGATGGCATGACAAACTTATTTTGTAAACAGTTTTTGATACTATCTGTATTTATTTTGTTAAA